ACAAAAAGTTTGGCTTTCCCATAGTAATTTCCATACAAACTTCGAATAGTTTGTGCCAAGTCAGTTTCTTCTGGGGATCAGTTGCCCTACAGCTGTCTACAGCAGCAGTCGATTTTTTATTTCGTTGTGAACCACACGATAACCTGTTTTCGAGACTCGCTATTATATAGTTGCTCTTTGTTCGTTGCTAGCAGTTCGGTGCCTTTTGTTGCTACGGTGCAAGATGTGTGAAGTAAAAAACACCATCAAGTTTAGCTTCAGCCATTGTGATGCCAAACCAAACATCGGAGAGATAGTAAATTTCGCCAAAGCACTCGACGCGGATCCGGCTGAAATGGAAGCTGTTTATCGCATTGGTGAGGAAAGGGGAGTCTTCATGAAGTTCAAATCAGAGGAAGCGATGCTCCATGCTCTGACATTCAATTCGGAGGATTTAATCTTCCATTATGCGAATGGAACGACGGCAAAGGTACGCATGTCGCATGCTGGTGAATTCATTCAATATGTGCGTGTGTATGACTTGCCACCAGAGGTACCCGACAACGAGCTGGATAAAGTGCTGGGGAAATATGGGAAAATTAAACGCATCATCCGGGAGAAATTTCCAACCGATCTGTGTTTTGAGGTATATACAGGGATACGCGGTGTATATATGGATGTGAAGAAGGAAATCCCCACGTCATTACATTTCTTCAATCGCAAAGGAAACATTTTTTATGATGGCAACAAAGACAAATGTTTTCTGTGCAAGGCGGACGGACACCGGAAGCTTTCCTGTCCCAAGCGGAAGGCTCGGAAGGAACCGGAGAAGCAACTGAAGGAAAAAGGAAAGCAAAGTGAAAGAAAACAACACAGCAGCAGTACGTATGCTGGTGTAGTGGTGGAAGGTGCGTCGTTTGTCATTAGCGATCAGGAAACGGATACGGGGTTGGAGATGTTGAATGCAGATAACGAAATGGACGTGACTACCCCGACGACCGACGAGAGTAGCGGAGAGCATGCAACGGGAAACGATGTCCAGAAACAGCAGCAGCGATCACGATTCGGGTTCAATGAAAATGAGGAACAAATTCGGGAAAGAAAGAAGTTGCGTGCACGGGAGAAGATCGCTTTGTCGCCGCTTCGATCGCCACCCAGAAAAATGATATGATAAAATATATTTGTACATATTTTTCTTTTGTATTTTGAGTACCATAATTGGTATTCTATGTTACTCGGCTCCGCTAAGTTATTTTTATAACATTTGAGCCTGCCAAATAAACGAAATGAAAAAAAAAAGTCAGTTTCTTACCAAATGAGTTTAAATTTTGGGAGGCTAATCAGGACCTGATTTGAAACCGTTTGAGCACTGTGGAGCGAAAATTTAAAATTTTGCATCAGTCTAATATACACTCAACTTCCAAATGCAGCATTTCAGGTTTTTTTTAATGCATTTTTAACGGAAATACACCAATTTGAAGTTGACCAATTTTTGCGCGTTCCAGACTTTAAAATGAGAGGTTCGTGAATTTACCTATGTTTCGAGGGGTGCATCGATTAGCTTGGGACCGAAGAGAGTATCAGAGCTGAGCCAAAAAGTTGAGCACGTTTCTTCGGGGCCTTCTGGTCTTAGAGTTACCTCTATGCTTCAATCGTGTCGGAAATATGATGTAATATTACTTGCCAAAAAAGGACAAAATTATCATTAATACAGTGAATGAACTGACATTACGCTGCTTTTACTGCATTTGTTTATTTTTGTGACCATAAAAATTACATGAGATTTTCGACATGATTGAAGTGCAATTGCAATCTTGGATGTAATATTAAAACTTATTGTTAGCTTTGTGCCTCCATTTTTTTATTTCATTATTATTTCTATGCACTTTTGAATATGTGATGGAAAAATTACATCTGGGCCTGAAGATTGAAATAGACTAAAAGAATCTATTGCTTATTCAATTTCTAGAGTTTGCACCCATTGCATCTGCTAGATTTGCAGTTATGAGTTATTTATTCTAGCATTAACACATCCTGAAGATATGCCAACTTGCGTGAAGTTATGATTTTGTATTTGATCAGTAGTAGGAATGAATCCTGGAAAATGAGTTTACATCATCAATTCCAGAGTTTCTATTGTATGTCCACTAAAAAAGTCATCAGTATGGTCTTTGAGAGAACTTTATGAAGCCTTGCAGTTTCAGGAATGCTTTCTATGTTATCACACATATGCTTTAAATTTTTCTGCATTGTTCTTCTTATTTATCTGTTGTATTCACGTAAAGCCTCTTGATATAGAGACCAGTTCGATATAAATTTAGCTCTATTGAATAATTTTCGAGCTTTTTTCCTTAGCTTTTCAAATGACTAATATTAGTTATTAAGCAATAAGGAGCAATTCTAGCTTAGAAATGGTATTGATATTATTCAAAATGTTACGATCTTGAATCTTCACACTAGAGATGCCGAGTTCTTTTTTGGTTTACGAGGATATCTTTAAGTTTCCTTTATTATATCATTAGCTGTTAATTCAAACAGAATTTTTCTATGATAAAATAACGATATTTCATCCAATACATGCCAATTAACTATTCGATCAGAAAGTATTGAACTACAAAGTATTAGATTCAACACAATAGCATTAATGAAAACAGAACTAGTTGAAAACCCACCGTAAGTAGAACTCAGTGCGTACGGCGTTCTTCGGGCGACAGTTGTAAATTACTGGGTGTCGGTTTCGTGCACTGTTCTAGCTTCATCCTTGTTCTTATCACTGCTGCTCTCCGGCAGAAATGCCTTGGGGTTTCGCTTCTGGTGTCCTTGCTTCTTACAATGATAGTAGATGATACTCTTCTGATGAATGAATCCACTGGTTCGCAACGCTTGCTCTTTCCTCGAATCAGGCCGTACTGATCTCTCATCTACTGTCAATTGATTGCTATGGGCAATCATAAGTACGTTTGAATAGTTTGTTAAATATCTAACACTGCTTCTTAGCGGTGCCGGTGGTGTAGTGGTAAGCGTGATTACCTCTCACCCCAGCAGGCCTGGGTTCAATCCCAGTCGGCGCCGCCGGGATTTTCTGAGGCATAACATCTCTGATCACGCCTTCCTTCGGAAGGGAAGTAAAGCCGTTGGTCCCCGGTTCATGAGTTGATGGGTCGATAGGTAGGGTCCAGGTGTGGGAGCTGCCTCCCTGGCGTCGGTAACAGTGGTGCTCAGCACGGAAAACGGAATCAAGGAAAAAAAAACACTGCTTCTTGATTTTAAATATGTTTGTGAGTTTCAATTTCGTCAATTGAAACGTCATTGTAACATCATACGGATGAAGGCAGAAAAAATGATTCGCTACACAGAAAAAAAAAAGTTGTTAAATAATACATCCAAACTGCTGCAACCAGGTCAATCCATCGGTTGTGTAATATAACGTTGTACGATGTACATCGATTTTGATGTAATATTGTATCTGCTTTTTGCTATTACATCATTATTTCATACATCAGCTTGAATTACATTAATCGACATTACATTTTTTCTGTGTATGAGCGTTTCTTTTGTTTTTGAGACGAATACACTCAAAAAATATTGGAAGCTAAATAGTATAAAAGTTACGCTAAATCGCAACTCTCCGTGCCGACGCAAAGGTCGGTATAAAGGGAGAGAATACAGACTTAGTATAAAAATGATTTATACCTGCCATAGTATAAACTCGAAATATGCTTGCAATGCATACATACGGTTTATTCGAGGGAATGTATTTTCTGCTTCTTTTTCGTTACATGCTTAATATAATTGTTTAAAAAAAAAAAATTAAAGTTTTAATTAAAGCAAAAGCAGTACCATAAAATTATCATTATCGAAACCCAGGTTTATCATTACCCGACGTTTTGATCTTTGTTAAGCGGCTAAAACTTGGGTCCACCGGAATTGTTATATTCAACGCTTTGGCCGTTAAGTCGAACAGATAGAAGAAATTACTGTGCATCAGCAGTTTATTGGCTAATCGATACAGGGTTGCTATTGATGGCAGGCTATGATTCCACTTCCGGCAGGCTTATATGCTTCTTTCAATCAATGAGCGGACGATGTTTGCAGAACCATTTGAGAACGTTATCACCTTCAACGTGAACTGAAAAACGACTACGAGTGCCATCGTGTTTGACATTGCCATTTTTGATCTTTTTAGTATACACTGATTGAATACCACTCCGATAATCGGACTTAGTATAGTTTTGAAGAAAATATTAATCGAATCAATGTATAAATTTTGATTAATAATAAAATGCATAAAATTTAATCAATATTGGTTTTGTAATATTTTTGAGTGTAGATATAAATATTCCTACTACGCGTTCTTATAGACATTGTACGGTAAGGGAGCTAGTTATGGCATATGCTCCAGTTATGGAATTATTCCGTATACGCAATGGTACCAGTTTTAGGCCTACCCATTTAAATCACATAACTGGTACATGCCAACACTGGAGCAAATTGTAAGTAGTAACATAACTGGTGCACTTCCCTATTACAGCTTTTAAACTTAAGTACCGTAAAGCGGGGGCAAATTGATAACCGAACAAATTGTTGAAAATAAACTTTTTTTTTCGGAAATGTATTAATGCAACATGATTTGAAGGCACGTTTTACCGATATTGCTCAAAGAGTTGGTTATAAAATCTTTGATAAGTTTACACTTCTATGAGCTTCGCTTTTACACCCACTAAGAGATTTTAGAACCTCGCTCCCCCTGCATAATCCCTCCATCATAACAAATTGTATAGACCGTGGACACTTTCCAACCCCCTCCCCCTTAACGGTCCACGTGGTATATAGACAGCCCCTATATTTAATATTTATTTCTGTTCTATCCATTGCAGTAATCGTGTTAATGAGGTCTCAATTCACAATTTGCCATAAACAGCCGGTCACTCACTACTCGACTGCTTCAATCGCAATAATACATTGCAGCCAGCCGGTGCTGGAAGAACCGTTTCGCTTCGACGAGTTCGCATAGCATAGTCTACTGGAAGTCATGGACAAACAGAACGAAGTGCTTCTTAACACATTTGTGATATCGAAGAAAAAATTCCGAGTGATTTACAATGTCGGCGTGCTTGTATGGGAGGCTGAGAACTCAAAGAAGGGTAAGTATACTTTGCTTATTTGTTGGAACAGTTTCAGGAAATTCATGAAAGAGCTGGCTCCAATCAATGCACTCAAACAGCGCAGAACGCATACCACTACCTACATACAAGTATTCGTACGATCTGGTAGTAAGTGAACTGAGTGGCTGCGCGTAATTACCTACTTGGATCTATGATTTCTGCTAGTACATAGAAGGTCGAACACTAGCATGCTAGCACAAATATTAACTTGATTAAAAGTAATGTACCATTATATTGCAGGATGATTGAACGCTTGGGTTCATCACTAAGCGATCACGTTTAGCACGTTCAGTTTTTCGCTTGCTTTGTTTTCCATCCAATTAGGCGTTAACCCTGTCATTCCCAGACGGTTTTCGTTGTTTTGAGATGCAAAAATATGTTTTCAAAAGAAAGTGCTATATCAAATGAACAGATGTTCCATGCAGTCTGAAATGATCGAATCCGTCAAAATCAGTTTTTGTTTAAAATCAATAGTATAAAAAATCAATAGTTATTTAAATGGTTTTGAACAGTTTTTCAGTTGAAATCTCTAGAATACAAATGAGTGAGAATAATGAGCATGGCTCAAATAAATACTGACTATTTAATGGAAGATTGACAAGCTCGAGACAGAAAGAAAAGTTGTAGATCATCTGCGCTACCATGGGAAGGAGAGGGTTAATAGCGTGCTTTACCGATTCCTTCTCAGCTGCATGCACCGGATAGCAACTTATCGATTGCTCTGAAGAAACGTGAAAGCATGCGCAAGCTTGTTCCCGGTTTTTAACTGAAGCATTCCGAAGCTCTGGTTAAATTTGCAAAATGTGGTAAATGATGTTTTTCCTCGGTACCCATCATTAGCGAAAACAAAATCAGAAATCGACCTTATGAGTAAGTCAAAGTTTACGTGTGATTCATTTGCATATGCTCGTCGAAACATTATTGTCGTTGTCCAGGATCGCTCAGCAAAACACGTACAAAGAATATGATAATGGTGTGCGAATAAGCACGGAAGCACTCACCGTACACCGGGCAAAGATGATCTTCGCGGTAAACACTAACACGTACGTATCTACCAGACGATCGCGGCTCGGAAATTTCAAGATTAAGGTCAACACTTTTTTTCATCTTTTCTTCTCTTTCGGTTTAGCTGTTGCTACCACAACCACAGCTAAGTGTTGATATTGGCTGATTAGGGATGATGATAATTTTCATGTGGTAATCCAAAATTACAACAAATTCATCGGAAGCGATTCTATAAGTTTTTTTTTTTGCAATCATTGTCCTATTTTTCCGGAAATTTGAAAAATCTTTATTTCATGTTGACCAACCCTAGCATCTCGCTACCTCACGAATCTTGCATTATTATTCAATGAATGATCATGGGTAGCAGGAAACAAAAAATAACAATTTTTGTTTATATACTTTTATAGACCGGTTTCATTGTTGTTATTCACAGGCTGTGTAAGAACGGCTAGACCGACGAGCCCCAAGGTCGGGATGGTTATGGACTTTTATTCAATTGCAGATGGAAAACGATCTGGGTGGTTCAATTTATCTGATTTGAACCGATAAAATTAGTGCACATTTGGTTGAGACGTTGCTACCTGAAACTGCGCTGACTAACTTCGCTCACTCGACAATTTTACGTATTTCCCTACCATAAAATAAACAACTTTCAAAAATTCATCCGCATGCTAACTGCATGCTTTATATTTTCAAATCAAATAAACAAAAATATTAGTATTTAACATGTCAATAATACACAAGTTTCACCATCTTATTTGAACACGAAACAATAAAGTTTTTGAATGCCGCTAAGCAAACTATGAAAACATGAAAAATATAATAAATAGTACTTTAACTTAAAGTGGTTATTTTATACGATAGATGAGGAGATGAAAGTATCGAGTTGATGGTGGTGGGGTATTAATAAAGATATAAAAAAAAAGTTGATGGTGCCATTAGAGTACGACAGTGTGAAAATTGTATATAGAGAGTAGAAAGTAAGCAAAGGTCAATTTTGAGGAAGGTACGAACCGAGCTGATCATCTCCTTTACCAAACTCCCCCGTTGGGATGGTGAGGGATCACTTGTCAAATCATGTATTTCTTGGCAAACTTTGAAAGTTTCTGCTTCCTTACTTGCTACGGAACATCAAACTTGTGCTGGGCGGTGAAGAACAGTAGCCCCGGAAGCTGCCGGAAGTCCGCCTTCACGTAAGTACAGTTTCCGGGCCCGTGACTTTCCCACCGTATTTTGCCGTTCACGATTCGGAGCCTTCTGAACTTTGTACGTATACAGTCCCTCTCGGTCCTTGGCTCTCTGAACGAAAGACTTGGACAGATTCAACTTTTTGATCACATCCCTGACCGAAGCATTGGGATTCCGCTTAAACGTTTTCACGACACGCTTGTGATCCTGATCACTAATAGAACATGCTCAGAGTTTTGTAGTAACGTTTTATCACACGACTCACCGTTGACTGCACGATTCCGAGTTGTTTTCCGATGTCCCGATGAGAGAATTGAGGATTTTCCAGGTGCTTGCGCAAAATCAATTCGCGACGTTGCTTTTTGGGTGACGCCATTTTTTACAACTTTCGAAAAACTGACAGCGATAAAAATACAGGATAAACAATACACTCTAAACTACTTCTACCCAAATTTTCAAGAGAAAATACCCAATGGGTAATTTTTTACAGCTGTAGTGCGTAACAATTTAGAAAACATCTTGCAAACAGATGTCAATTAAATCATTTCATTTTCCACACTCAAGGTCTTGCAACGTTGACAAGAATATCCACTATCCAAATTCACACTATCCTCAGCTTTTACCCACGATGGGTGATCGCCTTCAATAACGTCGAAATACGCGTTACCAGGCACCTCTATCTGTCTCTGTCTTTTTCCCTTTTATGTAATAACCAGTATGTAAGCATCGATTAAGAGAGTTTATGAATAGACATTCATTGAGTATCAGTCAACGGTGGAGTTAAGTTCTATATGCAATTGTAAGGGACTTAGGCGTTTAGTTACAATTTTAATGACCCATACACTATAACATTGGGGCCTCCCTTAGCTCAGTCGGTAAATGCGCAGCTACAAAGCAAGACCATGCTGGAGGTGGCTGGGTTCGATTCCCGGTTCGGTCTAGGAATTTTCCGGGTTGGAAAATTTCTCGACTTCCCTGGGCATAGAAGTATGATTGGACTTGCCACACAATCATATCAATGCAAAAATGGTACAGGCATCGAAAGCTCTCAATTAATAACTGTGGTAGTGCACCTAGAACACTAAGTTGAGAGCACGCAATAAGCTAAGATGCGATATGCAATAAGCTTGAAATGCAAAGAAGAAGAAGACACTGTAACATTACTGTACACTACATATGTAAGACCTTTTCTAGAATACTGCACACATAGTATGTAGCCCATACACTGCCATACACGAAGAACGCATGGAATTTGTCCAAAAGCAATTTCTTTTGTATGCTCTTCGATGACTAAATTGGACTGCATTTTCTCACCATCCTATGAATTTCCTTTTGAATTGCATTCCTATGAATTGCATTTCCTCACCAATCCTATGCTGCATGCTCATCAATCTACAAACACTAAAGAAACGGTGTGAATTTGCAATGCTTTTTTTTTATTAATGACATCAGAACTCGAAAATGATTCTATGAAAACACATGCAGAACAAATAACGCAAAAAATGGTCCCATCAATGCACCTGTATAATAAAAATTGCGAAGAAATTGACATCACTATGTCCAAAAACCAAATAAAAATTGTACTAAGAGGAAATAGAAATAATGCATAGCATGTAAGTAAAACATTGTATGTAGTCTACTTTGCTTGGCGAAATAAATTAATATAAAAATACATTTTAATTTATTGTAGTTCATAAATTGTAGTTACAATATAGCCCATAAGCTGTATCATATTTTTATCTGGATAGCTTTCTATATTAAAACAGTATTGAACGATGCTCAGCGATCTCATTCTTGGCTACAGTAAACTTTATCAAACAAGTTCAAACATGATCGTTATGGTAGGACCGAAGATCCGAGAATCGTACCAGAATCTATACAAAATATTTAGTGGTTTTCATGATATGAGCACAATTATTGTGTTACACCGCTTATTATACGTTATAATGCCATAGTCTGAACATGGCATTATAATAAATGCATTTTATTTACCTGTTTATTTGGTCATAAAAAATGCATCGATGAATTACCTTCCATAGAATTTTTGTTAATTCATTTATATAATAGCGCTCTCAAGATTACGCTGATAATTCTACTGATAATATAAATTAATCGATTTGTTTTATTTTTGATTGCAGAAAAAATTACGGTGCCCGTAAGCGATATCATATCAGTTACGCTATCAACGACGGCAAGTGGACGGTCATCTGGTAAAAATGTCCCACACAGCATTACAACAACATACGGGACGACTTCAACCACACACGCACCGCTCAATGAAGATTTGGATTTTGACCGCGTCCCTGTACTCCCAACATCAGCATCAATATCTACGAATGCCACCATAAACACCGTCACAACTACAACTAATATTAGCAATAGGGGTAGATAACGCTGCAAACTAGAGCTAATGAGAATCAACAAAATACAATAATATTTCTTCACTGTTCGTTACAGTTAACTCATACGATTTGCTGCACAGTGACGCCATCAGTGGGGAAGACATCCTTAGCGGAAACAGCCAATCTAATGCCAACTATTTAATCATACATTACGCGCGGCTTGTTTCACCTCGTGCATGCAAATGGAGAGTGCAACAGCTGGTTCTCTACAAAAGCGAGCAGCGGATTATCAAGCATTGGTACCACCGGTTATCAGAAGATATCAGAGGTCAGAACTTTGCACTCCAATATCTTATCGATATCGAAGATTTACGAACAGTTGCCTTATTTATGATGTTTTTTTTTCCAAAACTCATGCAGAGCAAAACCGACCGAAAAATTTACTTCTGTTCCTTAATCCATACGGCGGAAAGCAAAAAGCTTTTGCCCTTTTCGAAAAGTATGCCAAACCGCTATTTAAGTTGGCTCAGGTCGACATCAACCTGATAATAACGCAACGAGCGCAGCAAATTTACGACATAATGACATCGCAAACTATCAACCTGAACAACTATGACGGAGTGGTATGCTGCGGTGGCGATGGAACATTTGCTGAGCTATTCAATGGACTGGTTTACAGGACAATGATCGATTTAGGTAAGGGTTTGTTATAATATTCTGCGTCCGAACTAGAACTTTGCGCTTACCATAAACGTGTTTTTAATAATTTCACAGTTGTTAATTGAGAACTTGTAAGAACAGGATGCATACACTAAAAAAAAATCACATGAACCTGTCCAATGAAATTTATGTGATCTATCACATAGAATTCATGTGATCATATGAATGTTATGTGAATTTCAGATAAAAATCATTAATTTTGTTTTTGGAAAAATATCATGAGCGTTCCCAATGGAAACTATATGAAAACTTTTTTCAGTGTAGGTCCGCTATGGCTGTAAATCTGTATAGAATAAATCTTCCCATTTAGTTTATTTTTAGTTACACTCAATAGTGAAAGTTGTTACTTTAACCATCACAAATGGTATTCATAATTTGATCATACGTTTGCCAACAAGTGAAGTTTAGGGAAGAAAAAGTCAAGTAAAATTATATAAGTAATGGTAGGAAAGGTTAACCTGATCAGGAACGATTGTTTCCAGTGAGAGTTCGGATTTTTATGCTTTATTTATAGTCTGTATCAGATAGAGGGATATTTTGACTTCTAAAGGCCCACGCACATTAGATCCGGATCGGACACGTTGCGGCAACGTGACAGCTAAATCTATTGTCTAACTGTCAAATTTACGTCAACGCAACGCAAACAGATCTAATGGGGGTGGCCCTTAACTGGTACTAGCTTATGTTGCACGCAGAGAAATGATTTTTAAATTCATATGGATATAATTTTGGGCCTAATATATTTTTGGTATTGTTTCAAATATATTATTCGGTTGATTCAAAGAAAAATATTTTTGAATCAACAAACCGGTTGTGGAATAAATAATCTGTTTGTTGATTCTAAAACCATTTTGTTGATTCAAAAATATGTTTTGTTGAAATAGTGATACAATATGTTTGAATCAATAGCAAAGTACATTAGGCCCTGAAACAAAAATCACTTTTTCTGCGTGTGGGTTAGATCAGGTCGGAATGCACCCTGCATTATTACTTATGCCGATAAGCATAAATTGCTTTAGGTGGAACAGTGACATTTTGTTCGATTCGGGATAGACTCTGGTTCGGAATATCGACCTCTGTCATCTTGTGAAATTATTATTATTATTATGATTTCCTTGATTTGTTTTCCGTCGATCTTGTTTTCCGTGCTGAGCACCAATGCTACCGACACCAGAGAGGCAGCTCCCTCAGCTGGACCCTACCTACGAACGGTTTTACTTCCCTTTCGAAGGAAGGCGTGATCAGAGACGTTATGCCTCAGAACATCCCGGCGACGCCGACTGGGATTGAACCCAGGCCTGCTGGGGTAAGAGATAATCACGCTTACCACTACACCACACCACACCACACAGAGAAGGAAAGAAGTTTGTCCCCGGTTCATGAGTTGATGGGTCGATAGGTAGGGTCTGATAGGTGTGGGAGCTGCCTCCCTGGCATCGGTAGCATTGGTGCTCAGTACGGAAAACCAGATCGACGGAAAACAAATCAAGGAAAAAAAACTGAAAATCGATAACATTTTGTACACGAAACGAAAATCAATTATTTTATTCATGTGTTTCACTTATACATTTTTGTCAAAACATCAGCCTTATACATTCCATAAGACAAACCACATAGGTCCTATAAGAAAGCATAAAAGGTATATGTGACCGCTTATACATTTCATTTGACACATGATCTTCATTAATTCATCAATCAACGCAGACAACGAAGACGTTATTATTATTGTTGTACCAGTTTTTTTTAATACTCTGTTTAGTTGGAGATGCTTAACATAAAATATCAGACTGGTCATTTTATACAATAAATGAGGAAATGAAAGTATAGAGATGATAGTTCCGTTAGAGTACGGCAGTGTAAAAATTGTATATAGAGAGTAAAAAGCAAAGGTCGATTTTGAGGAAGTTACGAATCGGGTTGATTATCTCCCTTACCAAACTAAGAGATGAACTAGCCTCAGGCTAAAAATCTCTAAAATAAAGAAAAAAAAAAAAAAAAAACCTTACCAAACTTGGGGAGGAATGGTGAGGGGTATCCCCCGGCACTATTGGCAAAAGAGATGATCGTTAATTTGCTCATGTACCTTCGATGTTCTATCGATTGTTTCACACTCAAGTCACCACCTTTTTTCGAAAAATTACAGTATGATTGATGGTAAGCTACCATCTAGAGTTGTACTAGAAGATTCATAAAATTTTGGGTGTTGTAGGGAAACGTAGCAAATTTTTCACCTTTCCCACCCTAGGGTCCCCGTTGTCTGACACACAGAACGCCTGTGCATGGATTTCCAGGATTCCCACCTTCAACGATGTACTCTTGCACAGCAAATTCGCTCCTGCTTTGTTATCCACAACATACACGTCGTGGTATACTCGCTTCGAACGGGTGGTAATTTCCGGTTTGAAAGTCTTGTGGACTGTTAGTTTACCGTTACCGTAGACCATGTAGTTCGGCTGATGACGTTAACGTGAGCGCCGGTGTCGACAAACAATTCCACCAGATCGTGTTTACTTCCGGTAGCGTAAATGTGCTGTACGTCGTCGTCACTATCTTCGCTGCTGATTTCGATGCCGCATTGGACACCGCTCTCGTCTTCGGAATCTTGAACTTGCCACACCTTCTTCTTGCTTCTTTCATTCTTAGGTTTTCGGTTCTCCGGCTTGGTTTTGCACATTTTCCGGAAATCTCCCACTAGCTTACAGCTATCACACACTTTGTTTTTTGAGGTACAACTTTTATCCTTGGCAAAATGTCCAGCATTGCCGCATCGGAAACACTTTTCTTTCTTCGCAGCCTTTTTGATTTGGTTCACACAACTTTGGCCCATAGGAGCAAAATTTCTCTTCGTATCCTCCTTATTACGGTTCCCTGTTTCCAAGATCCGTGCCTCCTGCACGATTTCTTCCACATTCATCAACTTCTTCTTAATAATCACTTCACGCAGCTCATCCGATCGGCTGTTGTCAAACACCTGTTCTGTAACTCGCATTTCGAGTGCATTCCCGTACTCACACAGGCGCCCTTGCTCTCGAATGCGGGCGACGAATTTGTCCACAGATTCATCTTCAGTTTGCTTCATTTTCCGGAACACGTACCGATCGTAAGGAACATTGGTGAAAGGTGCAAAATGAGCATCCAGCAATCTTATCGCCTCCTAGTAAACGTCCGACTCCGCTGGCAGGGGTTCATCGTGTCCAGGTGTAGCGAAGAAAAGGTCCTGTATCTGTGATGCACTGAAATGCAGCAGATACGACTTCGATGGGATAATTCACCTCTAGGAACAACTCCAGAGATCTCTTCCATTTCATCCAGCGTGTTTCAATCGATGCCGTGTTATTGGTGTCAAAAGGTAACAAAGTAGATTTGCTGCTCTCCATCTTCTTTTACGCAACTATGGCGAGACACTGTTTATCTTCACGTTTGTTTTGGCTTCTCTTCACAGCAATCTTTCCTTCGTCGAAAAACCCCGAGTGTCGGAAGCGTTTTCCGTCTTGCTTTCAGCTCGTCTGCCGTTCTTGTCACAACGGCGTCGATTTGATGTTATACCCCAAATATTATTTTTGGTTTATTTCTCACGTAACTCACTATTCCGAATCGTAAACTCGCGTTTATCGAATTTAATCATTGCTCCATTACGTATAGAGCCTTGACTATAAGATTAATGCTTTTATGTTATGACCTTGCTTTAATTTACTGTCTTTTTTACTGATATGTACATATAAGATTAACATTATTGGGGCTACAGTTGATGTATAACAACTATAAATAAATTATGCTGTTAAATTATACGAAATTATGTTCAAGTAACATAGTAGGAGAATGACCTTTGAGGTATTTGTAATCTTATGAAATATCTGGAGATTACATCAGCCAGTAAAACTTGGTGCGTATCTGCGTTGAACAATCAACAGCTCCAGGTCTTCAGTAACCGATGCCTGCGGTACATACATTCGTGCTTGGTGGCTTCGTAACTGGTTCTCGAATGCCGATGTTATCAGAAGTCGAAACTCGAGAACGTAAGTGGTGGTGGGTCGGTCACACACTATGAAGAGGCGAAAAAAAAAATTTGCAAGCAAGTGCTGGATTGAAACCCGGCAGAACTTCACAGCAGAGGCAGGCCAAGGGGCTCATGGCATCTAAGTCTCACGAAGGAATTCTTGCAAGTCGACAGGAAATTGACTTAGGCACATGTTAAGGTAAAATCAAGCAGCGGCACATTATGGAAATCTTTTATGTTAGTACTATAGTACACCACTAGAGGTACTCAGGATACATGAGTGAGTGAGCGAGTCTACCTATATTAATTACTTTTTATGTGGCGCATTTTTTAGCTGTAACATATCTAAGAACGAACTAACATTAATAATTTGTCAATTTTAGGAATGGATATAAACAAACCACCCTACCTTCCGAAACCAAGCATTCCAATAGGAATCATTCCGGCAGGCAGTACCGACACTGTAGCGTATTGCTTGAATGGGACGACGGACATTAAGACCTCCATCATTCACATCATCCTCGGTCAAACGCATGGCCTCGATATATCCAGTGTGTATCGTAACAGTGACGATTGTGGTGTTGGTGGTTCTAGTCCGTTGCATACGACTGCAGGGTTGGATGATGCAGACAATAATACTCCTAGTAGTACAACAAGAAATAGCACTAACGCTAAAAGCCGACCACGATTGCTCAAATTGTATGCCAGTGTTTTATCGTACGGGTTTCTTGGTGATGTAACAATGGATAGCGAAAATTATCGATGGATGGGTCCTAAACGGTATGATTATTCAGGTAAGTGTGATATGATAATTTTAATTTTAAATGGATCATGCGATTGCGAGCAAATTTTTGGAAATCTTTCTTGAATCTATTGGTTTTTAGCATTTAAACAGTTGTGAGTTGAGACTTTTCTGTATCTTCTTTTTTTTGTATTTGTATACCTAATGTATGTAAAACACAATGATTCTCATTGCCCGGAAAAGTCAGAGAGTTTCGAACTAATGTTTTTTTCTCGTATGGGTCGAAAGCATGGTTTAACTCTGTATGCTTGCTTTACTCATTAAATTACGCTACGAGAGGTCCGAAATGTTTTGTCAGAATCAGACCAGAACCCGTGTAACATGACATTGTTATCAATATATAAACTTATGTGTAGTCAAGTCATGGTTTTACCAAATTTATCGTAATTTTATCGGAATAGCTAACACGAAATAAAAATCTTGTAGCATTGTCTTGGAAAGTTTAAAGAATTTCAAGGCATACGCTGAGAATCAAACTGGGAAATTTATCAAGCGTCTTCGAACTGACAATAGTCTGTAATACGGGAATCAGAAAATGACACGATTCTTGTATAGTTCAGGAATCCAACATGAGCCTGCCGTTCCTTAAAATCTGGAACCGATCTGTCTCGCTGCGCGAATTAATCGCACAGTAGTTGAATAGGCGCGATGCTAGTTGGATAAACGTTTTTAGGCTGTGCTACGCTACTGCGGTGTATTTGGTCTACCGGTCACCAACGAAAAGAAAGTATTCTACTTTGAAACTCTTAGAAAAATTGATTTTTGTTTCAGGGCCTAATGTATTTTGTTATTGATTCAAAAATATTGTATCACTATTTCAACAAAACATATTTTTGAATCAACAAAATAGTTTTTAGAATCAACAAGCAGATTATTGACTCTACAACCGGTTTGTTGATTCAAAAATATTTTTCGTTGAATTAACCGAATAACATATTTGAAACAATATCACAAATATATTAGGCCCTGAGTCAAAAATATATCCATTTGAATTTAAAAACCATTTCTCTGCGTGAAGGATTGTCGGTTAGTCCCGAGGAAGCGTCCAATTTCAAGAAACCAGGACAGGCTCAGTCGAACGGTTATTACGTCTACGTTCCACGAACAAAGAAGGTGATAAATCAGCAGATGTGCTTTCTGCTGTTAATTTTCATATCATTCGATTGAAGATGAACCAATGCAGCCAATTGAGTCAATTGAGTCACTCACTATCATTTGATATACGACAGTGGAGTATGGAAGAAACCCAGCAAAATGGTCCCAACCAGACAAGTCTACCCGATGTCGGATCAATGTTAGGCAAATTTTAGGTCGATATCGACCCAATGTGGTGTTGTTGTCGAGTCAATTTTGGGTTTATGTCGGGTCAACATTGGGTTGGGGTTTGAAGTCAGGTTGGTGTCGGGTTGGCTTAGCTTTTTTGCCGGAATGTCGACCAGGGGCCACATTGCGCATCTCGAAACGAAAAACTTTTTCATACAATCATTCGTACAAAAAGTGTTTCGTTTCGAGATGCGCAATGTGGCCCCAGAGCTCCGTTTATGTATTTATAGGTTACACTCAATTGAATGATATCAAGCGTTTCTCAAATGAGAATGATCCATGCCTTCGTCAAATGACTAAGCAACTGATATCACCCATCCGAAGGAGGTCCCGTTTGCTAGCGGATAGCTGCTTTTCTCATTTTCATCAAAAATGTTCAATTGATTTTGATAATTTACAGCACTGGTCAGGAGACAAAACGGTTCGAGACGAATCTAAGACAGTGGATGCAGTTTCAGAACAACGATTTAGTCGAAATCGATAATGATGGTTATGGGTTGGTTGAATCATTAGATTCTGATCCTAACGGTTGCATTGGCGAAACGGACTACGACAGCACAAATGACAATATCATTTCCGTGTCTTCCACTGCGCTCCATCCGCAACAAGAGGGTCTGTGAAATGTGATCAGGCGCAGCGAAAGGGAGTGCCATCTTCCAGGCAGGTATATGGAGTATGATATGACTTGTAGTATTTTTCCCAAATGCGTTGCGGATGCAGTGGTGGTATTTCTCCAAGGGGACCTGACAGAGGAGGAGACTTTCGTGGATCAGCCCGAAAGTTTAGTGGATAGAAAGGCTTCACAAAAGGTATGCCGATTACGTAAGGTGCTATACGGCCTGAAGCAGGCCAGCCGTGTGTGGAATGTGAAATTGATGCAGGTGGTGGGTCGATATCCTTAAAAGGCAGCTGATGACGAAATTTCACATGGAGGATCTTGGTGAAGCAGAAAAGATGCGGAGCATGCGGATGACCCGAGCTCGAGCCCGAGCTGAGCGTGTAGCTAGACCAATAACGATACATTTCGTGAGTTGGTAGGTGACCTATAATTCATGGCACAATGCACCCGGTCTGATATTGTTTATACTGTCAATATCGTGAGCAATTTCAGTAGTAATCCTGAAGAAGCACGCTGAACGACGGCGAAGAGGTTCTTGCGTTTCTTCAAAGGAATAAAGCTGATGAAACTGGTTTACATGAAGGAAGAAGAAGCGGTACTCGAAGGGTTTCATCGATGCAGCTAAGGGTAACAATAACGAATCAAGTCAATCGGTCACTGGCTATGTTTTCCAGTATGTTGGTGGTCGGTGTCGTAGAGTTGTCGTAATCAACAAACCGGTGCCCTCTCGGAGTCAAGATACACGTCCAAATACGTCGCGACCTAAGAGGAAGAGGTGACAATTGGCTTCTTCCTCTTTTATTTCTATCTCTATCTCTATCTTTATCTATCTCTATCTCTATCTCTATCTTACGCACATGAAATCGGTCAATCTTCTCTTAGGTCGCGACAACCAATGTACAATATGTTTGACTACTCACCTTGCAGCAATCATATCGACTTGCGGCATCATTGGAATCAAAGCTGCAGTTACGTTCTTACGAAACCAATCCTTGGTGATAAATTTGCGATAGCATTTAGGTTTGGAAACTACCCAAATTCCTGGTTATGATGGGAATGTTGTCATAGTTAGCCATAAATTTGTTCTTCAATAAAGCTATCATTCGTATATTGTTTTTGCTACATCCCATACATGTTTAATTTATATTAAATACTTATGAGGTTTGCTCATTGTAAGCGAACTATATGCGTAAAAGAAAAACGCTTTATGAAACTAATATTCGTTTTATCTTACAGGAGTCAAAAAATTTCTTCGCAATCGCGGTTATTCCGGTGACATTACTATCCAACTGGAAAAAGAAGTTCATGATAACGTGCGGGTTGAGCGGAACAACCCACACGATGGCGTTCGATGTTTAGAAAACTGCCAACGCTGCCAGCTTGCTTCAACTAAGAGTAATAATCCCATCGACTGTGATACGGAAGAAGTGACCGTCAGAGGAAAGTTCCTTATGGTCAATGGTGCTAATGTTTCCTGTGCATGTTCCCGCAGTCCGCAGGGTTTCAATCCGTACAGCCACCTGGGCGATGGCTATGTGGACCTGATTTTGGTGCGACATACCTCGTTTTTCAACAACATTCGGTTGTTATTAGCGATGTCATCAAAGACGAAAAAAATTGTAAGTATTGCATTTTGCAATTCTAGCTGGACTCCTCAAAAGTACTCTTTTACGTCTTGCTGTCGTCTGTGCACTTTTTCGTTATGAGTCAAGGATCACACTTAGAAACTAGAGTCGGTGTATATAATGAGTCACGCCAAGAGTGAAGCCAAGTCTACCTATTGAGCTGTCAAACCGGCTACCTATCGTGCAGAGTAAACAAACATTACGATGCTATGAAAGGTCCACGAAAGGTATTGCAATAAAATATAAAATATAATCGAAGAAATGATCATAAACTCGCAGTGAGCAATAAATTGTCATGGGATACGTTTGGTAATGATAACTTATGAGAATTTCTACTATTTTTGGTTGAGATAATTTGACTAAATCACTGATATAATGATTTACTACAGCCGCTATTTTTTTTCTCGCTAGAAGTCATTTGAAGTTGATGTAGAAGTCCTCTGTTGCCAAGTGAAAAGAAAGGGAATCTTTCGAAAACCGTGATGCGAGTTCAACTGTTTTTCTCTTGGCGTGACTCATTATACACCGACTCTATTAGAAACTATTATCAACATCGATCATTTTTTACCTAACTTTCCACAGCTGAACATTTGGTAAAACTTTGACCCTCATTTCAAAAGCTGTTTAACTAAATTTTAATTTCAAACCACTGGCAGCCTTGTTTAAATAATCGTGTCTTGTCATTGCTGCATTAAGCCTGTTGATGTTGACAATAAAAAAAATCAAGTAGATGAACCATCTTGCCCGTAACCTATCTTGACCCACCTTACCCTATGTATTATTAAATATTCACCAGGTATCGTATGAAAGGCTGAAAACACTAATGGTGGTAAGCTTCAACCGGTATTATCATCGGATTAAATCCCGATCAAGTATGTCCGGCTGCTTTGTTGTCGACATCAAGTATAACCAACACGACTTTAAGCAAACGTTTAGCAGATCATGCAACAGGGACGGGATTAAAAGTTAATCCGAGTTGGAGCTTATCGCCATAAAATTTGAATAAAAAACTACAAGGGACAGCCCTATGGGATTGTAAATACGCAATAGTGACGTAGGAGTACTTGGTCTTATATAATAAATGTTATTTGTTAACTGCAGCAGGAGCTTGTGTTTTGTGTAGGAATAGGAATTTGAGCAGGTTTCTCTCTGTTTATACTCTTTAGTACGCACAGAAAAATTTATCGTCGGATCAAAAATATTTGAGGTAAATTTAAACGTAAACTCAGTTTGTTCTGGCCACAAACATAAACAAGGTTGATTTCAAATGTATATCATGTTAAAATTCATTGATATCAATGTTTAAAACAAAAATAACGTTACGTTTATTTTAAAAATATTCGTGTTGAAAATAAATATGAATATTTTTGAGATCCAAAATAAATTTGTTTATTTTAAACATGCTTTCCATGTTTAAAATAAGCAAACATATTTTAAAATTATTTAAGCATTTGAATGCGGGATAAAACAAAATAAATGGATAGCAAATAAATGGCAAATCTGTAGACAGGGCATCTAAATTCCTGCTATTTTTCGGTGTGGTTAAGGGTGGTCTGTGGGTGGTCCAAGATCCGGTGCCCCGTCGGGGTGGGTGTCCGGGGGTTTCAGTTCAGTAGAATCGCTGAAACTTTGTGATATTAGCGTCGTTTAGTCGTTTCTGACGCTCGTCCTCATACCGACCTCTTTCTACGCTTGGTGTTGGGGGAGGATCCGGAATGGATTCAGAAGCCATTTCGGATTTTCGTTTTTTTTTTCTCTTTCGACGTCGGGTAGGGTTGAGGATGACATGGGGATAACCATCAAAAACGACGAGTGACGTTGATATTGTTTCGCCGGTTTTGTCAAGCTTGAAACACTTGCCTACGTGGGTTTCCGGACCTTTGGTTCCGCAGCTTGTGGGCCGTTTTCAGTTAAGTTTGCCAAATGTAAACAAAGAAAAAAGGACACGCTAAAAGGTGTCTTACCCTAATTCTATATTGCTGAAATAAACATCCTTTGAATTTAATTCTAACATAAATATTTTAGTTTCAAACATGTTTTCTATTTACTTTGAATAATTCATATGTTTAGAGTATAAACATTTATATTTTTGATTTAAATGAACAAAAATGTTATCCGTGTATAACTATGATTTCCCTAACAAGAACCTTTTTATATGAATTTTAGTGTACAGAAATTTAACTCTTCTGGAAAATCTTGGTGGCCCTGAATAGGGCCGATGGTGGTACAGGCTTAAAGCCTTTGGAAGATGATGATGACGTGTAGGCAGTTGGATCAGCAAATCAGATCGGATAATTCCATATTCTCGCAAGGCATTCGCAAGAGTTTCGGCCCGTCTGCTGCTGGACAGGCGTTGAACTGATGTCTGCGACGGGTTAGAAGGCCGCAGAATATCGGTGTCCACCAAACTAAAGCTCCTTCCCTTTTTAGTTTTTCTCGTTAAACTCCTTCCCTCAACAAGTTGGTAAATCTTAGCCTTTTGCAGAGAGATGTTTAACATTTTTTTCGGCGAATTTATGATCCTGTTTCACGTCATGGTTCTTCTCTGTGCCTGTTCAGATAAATTAGTACTTTTATTTATTTTCTCTACTGCGCTAAATAAAACGAGTAGAAATAAGAAGGGATGTCGGTTACGCGCTCGAATAATTGAAAATTCGATAAATATTTAATCGAATAGCTGGAAAAATGTTTACGATTAATTTAGAAATCCCTAGAAAACAGTGTAATCTCATGATTTTTGGTGGTTCTTCAAAAATATCGAACAGCAGAATTGCAACCAATTTAGAAGCAGAGGGGTGAAAGTCAATTCTCTTCATCGATTTCCTTTTTTGATGGCCATGGCTTCACTAACCTATTTCGCTCTATTTCTGCTATGCTCAAACGTATCAATGAATGTGTTTGCCGTCGAGCTATTAACGAAACAGAAAGTCGATGAATCGATCAAAATCACTTGCACCCCTGCTTCCAAGTTTGGTTACAAGATTACAACTCTGGAGAGCATTTTGTGTGGTCGTTGGGGCGTGTGATTCTGCATATGGCGATGAGTGTACAAAATGTTGCGCAATCGCATCCTCTCTATTCGCACACGCCCAAAGATTGGAGGCGAATGCCACTTCGACTTGTTTCGTCTACTAACGACTCTCTGATGAGCAATGCTACATCGACATGTTCCGTCTAGAAACAATTCTCTGATGACTGTGTTGGGGAAGCAGCATATGCATGTATGTAATTGGTGAAATTGTTAGTTATTTCAACGCTTTTGGACAATGCTTAGCCTTTGCCACTTTTTCAATAATTTCTTATTGAAAATCAACAGTCAGAGGCAAAGGATGGGTAGAAATATTTCTGATCGATTAGTAATAAAATTATTGAAATTGGTCCAGGGGCAGCTGAGTTATTAACGTTCAAAATCTTTCATAATTTCGTTACATGTTCCATTTTCGGTTTTTACAAAATGTACCCCCATATAGAAATCACAGACGTAGTCCTACGTCAAAAATTAAATGAAACGTCTCAGTGGTAACGACTCTCCCATATGGATTCCATTACCAACGCGATCGGTTTCCTCGTTTTCTACATATGCCTCGCGAGTTTCGCACAAGACTGGTTTAGTGCAAATCGCTAATCACGAATATATACATGATAAGAAATCAAAATCATCTGAAATATATTTTTGTCTTCCTCTTTATCATTGCTGACGGTCGTCGATCCCGCTGGATAGAGCGATTTACCTTTTGTGGAGATTTACCGGACAAAGAAATTTAGCTTCAATGGACGCGTCGTGACTACGTTTCAAGGCCATGGTCACGAAAATGGGGCAATCGATAACGAACTGGATCAAACTGTAACAACGACGGCAAGTACAACTTCTACGAACGACTCAAGGGACCTGGCGACTGCTCCCAGAAGTGGTGGAGGCTCGAAGGAACAAAATAAGCAGCTTTCCAAGTGGAATTGCGACGGAGAGATCCTTTTGGATACTAATATAACAGTAGAGTAAGTTATGCTGTAAAAAGTTTAAAATTTTCAACTTATACATTGACGATACTAGCTAGTTGTATGTTAATTAAACTTAATAAAATAAACCATAATATTCCTTCGGATTTCTTTTCAGATGCAATTGTCAGCTGATTAGCGTGTTTCGCCGAGGCATTCAATGCAGTGATAATAGTTGTAAGGAAAACGTTCCGGGCGTTGTAAACTGCTGCGGGCTATGTAAATAATAAGTTACGTAGAAGATTGTGCTCTACTATTTCTATGATTTTTTTTTATATCTTAAGCTTTTAGTTATGAGACGACTCAGCGGTGGGCACACTTCCTGTTAACGGTGCATCACGAAGCTACCTATCCCTCTGTCAAAACATTGAAGCATTGAAGACTTATACAAATCTGAAAATTTGTATAGTTGAGCAATGGGTAATCGGGTATTGAGCAGCAGCCAGCTTCAAATTTGAATTTCTTGTGGAATAATCAAAAGTGAAAGTTAATGACTACAAAAAATCTAAAAACGATGCAAATCATCACTGCTAAACAACCTATCATCAATTATAGATAGAGCTGGAATTAGGGCGTAACAGCTTTTGTAAACAATGACTTCGCTCGATGATTTCTAGGAATTTGTGCCCGCGCAAACCAACATATCCGGGTAGGGGAAGACTTCCCCTACCTGACGGTGATATTGATTTGCTTAGGCGAGCCTTGAGTTTCTAGAAATCATCGAGAGAAGTCATTGTTTACAAAAGCTGTTATGCCCTAATTCCAGCTCTATCTAGAATTGTTGTATGAGCCTTAACGAGAAGTGTGCTCGCATCACTGGAAACGAACCCTGCCTGTGATTGGTATTAGACAAAAGAAAATTGTTAACACTAATAATATGTTTGGAAATTTGTATTTACCATTGCGTTTATACGCCTTAACAGAAGTAAAAACATAAAACGATACATTTAATGTACTCCTAATGTATCAACTGATTTCCAAAGTGCTGCAGGTGATCTAGTATTACAAGAGTTGATGCATATAGGGTAAGGTGGGGGCAAGATGGGTCGTTTATTTATGTTTTTGATTGTCAATATCAACGAGCCCCAATGTTGGTTTGAAAAAGCAAATCACCATTGGCATTGCATTGAACCTGATACAATAATAAATGTACTAGCTGACCCATCTTGTCTCGTGAACCCACCTTGTCCCTCCTTGCCCTACATAGTAGCTATAATTGATGAAATTCCAATTTAGTTAGTTCATATGGCATTCCAACATATAAAACAAGAAATTAGAGACTTGTAGCAGATTGCAAACATGCTAGGTACTGTAATTCGGGGGCAAATTGATTTGACCAAATTAAATGTCAGTTAATAAAAAATAAGTTAAATATTACAAAAGAAAGCTTCCAATATAATGAAATTAGAGGATTTTCATCAAATTTTCAACCGATTTTCAAATTAATTGATCATGAAGAAAGATAGAGTCATCGTAGCTACTGATTTGGTTAATATGCTTTCTTGTAGAAATGTATTTCGATATTTACGTTAAACAGTGATCAATTTACCCCCGGTTTACGGTACACAAGAAGATGAGTTTAACATTATAAGCAGAATAGCATTTTTGCTTAATTGTGATAACGATTTTTGTTAACTAACGAGCATTAATAGCAAAATATAGGGATTGAGGTTTCCAATATACTGGGCTCTGGGAAGGCAACTGATTTTTAGGCTTTTTTTATGATTGTACTTGTTAAAGTACTTTAGTTTGTATTTTTAGGTGAACGGCATGTTGTAAACTGTGCACTAACTGTTGACTTCAACCATTATAATGAAAAAAATAAATTTTTAACTTACTGAGAGATTTACGTTTTGCTATTATGTATTTATATCACATGTTTCCTTGAATTTATATTTATTTTGAAATCGGTCTCACTCGGGTTTTCATGGAAAAAATACAGATTTTGGTTAGGTTCGGGTTTCATCTATAAAAAATCACTTGGGTTCGGATTTAACAAAACAACCGGGCTCGAGTAGGTTCAGGTTTGTTAAACAAGAAACCCAACCATCTCTAATGCCGGATTCGGATTTGATTTCCAAATGAAAATCGAGGTTTTTCGGAAGAAAAAGGCGTCAGTGAGTGGTAGAGTGGAAGTCGAAGTGGAAACGTGCGGATTTGTTAGCGCTAGTGTACTAGCCAACTAGCATGAATTTCAGTTGCTCCTGAAATCTCATGCTGGTAGACGCTGATACCCTGTTTACATTATGCTACACGCTAACCCCGCAGTACCCATTAATGAGTAAAGAAGTACCCGTTTCAAAGAAAAGTACCTTAACTCATGATATGAGTAAAACCAACTTTACTCATTAATGAGTATTTGACGAGTACTTCATAAAATGTTTTTTTTTTTTCATCAGCGTGTTTTTCAGTAATGGGGAAAAGTACCCATTTTTTAGAAAAAAAAAACAAGCCTTTATAGGGCTCATAGAGTTCTCTACCACCGTTAGTATTACATACCAACAATCAATACGAAACTAACGATTTTAAATTGGCTCACTACTTGACTAGCCTATTGGTCCCAAGCAAACACGCAGAGAAAATTGCCCTTATTGAACAAAAAAAAAATTATTGAAATATTTTGCAATGTCAAATATAACTTTTTTTGAATTCAATATTTATATTTTAACGGCGCCGGTGGTGTAGTGGTAAGCGTGATTACCTCTCACCCCAGTAGGCCTGGGTTCAATCCCAGTCGGCGCCGCCGGGATGTTCTGAGGCATAACATCTCAGATCACGCCTTCCTTCGGATGGGAAGTAAAGCCGTTGGTCCCCGGTTCATGAGTTGATGGGTCGATAGGTAGGGTCCAGGTGTGGGAGCTGCCTTCCTGGCACGTCGGTAGCATTGGTGCTCAGCACGGAAAACAAGATCGACGGAAAAAACAAACCAAAGGAAAAAAAAATATTTATATTTTGTAGCTTCAAAAATGTTTTTTGTTGTTTGCAAACAAATATATTGTAGATTGTCTTCAAATATTATTTTACCTACTTTTTAAAACACTTTTCCAAAACATACACAAGCTCATTTTGTCAATGTATGTGTGTGTTTTCCATGCTCGGCTTTCCAGTCGCCATTTCTAGGCTTTATTTAAAACGCAAAATGGACTCGCCGGAAAAAGTTCTTTTTGAACAAGTTGTAAATTGCTTTCTTGGTAAGGAATTCCGTATTTGCATTTTAATACGTGTTTCAACGATTTTTTTTCCCAATTCCAGCAAATCAATACACCGTGGAAACGTTGCCCGTTTCGAAACGCAAACTTTTATTTTGCATACCGTTAATGAAAGGTCATAATTCAGTTTTTGTTATTTTTGTATAATTGATAAACCTATTGAATCACTATTTGTGCCGTTTGTTAATAAATAAAAAATGATACCATAAACAATTATTAAATTTATTTAAAATTATTTCATGAATAGAAAAACTGCTAAAATTAAAAATTAAAATATTTAAGCCAAACCAATTTTTTTTAAATTATAAAAAACAAATTGTTATTCGCAGCATTTTTTTTTAAATCAAAAAAAGCTATTTTTGGTAGCAACTTAATTTTTTTTTGATCAAAACAAGATTTTGTCTGTTTGAAAATAAATATTGTAAATTCAACAAAATATACAGATTTTGACAGATTTTAAAAACAAAAATATTTTATGTCCGAACAATAAAGATTTATTGTTGAATTCAATAAAAAAAGTTATTAGCCGGGGAATGATAATTTTTGTTGTTGTTTTTAATACATAATATCATTGAAATAAAAAAAACTTTTTTTCTGCGTGAACGATTAACGCATCCCATTCTAGTCGAAATTCTAGTACTACGCAATGTTTGTTTTGATTCGCTATGAAAGTTTGACAGATAAAATGAGGGGTTAGTGGATTTTCCTATGTTTCGAGGGGTGAATCAACTAGCTTGGGACCGAAGATAGTACCAGAGCTGAGCCAAAAAGTTGAGCACGTTTCTTCGGGACCTTCTGGTCTTAGAGTTACCTCTATGGTATCACTACTACTTAAAAAGGTAGCGCGCGGTCTCACGCACACTTTTGTGCATCTGGAGAACTCTATAAGACTGAACACACCAACCAGCGAAAAAGGAGTCAACGTCAAACAAGGAACGGAAATTATCCACCTCGGAAAACAAGAAAAAACCAAAAAAAAAAAAAACAGGAAAAGCGGAATCATGTCCGAATTAATCAAGAACGATCTACGGAAGGAAATTGCCGGTGAAGCACGGAATGAAATACGAAGCGGTAGAGAAAAAGTACAAAAGATTCAAAAAGAAGCAATCAACGGCGACAAGCATCAATTAGGGCATCATTATAGGTAAATATACATCACAGACAAACAGATATAAAACACTACCGCCATCTGTTGAGTATACTGTGGTGGGTAGTACGCTGAACAGATGGCGGTAGTGTGTAAACGTCAAACGCAAGGGAATTGACTATGCACGCCACAGGTGGCGGTACTACCAACTACGATACTTTTGAATTGACCGTTAAATGGTTGTTCGATGAACAACTTGCAAGAGTTATGTCTGTTTGTCTGTGCTATAACGTTACGAACGGGCTACGAATATAGCATATGCAACAATTGGCGAGTCATCATGTTACTGTGGGGATTTTTTTTAAATTACCGAACAGGTTGGGGTCGAAGGGTCTTTGATTTCTATGAAACTTCACCCATAGACAGAGTTCGTGGATATACAGTAATGACCCGATTTTATCAGCCCCTCTGCGCATCAGATTTTAATTTTTCAATGATTTCACATAACCCTAATTGCAAATCTTTATCATGCATCTTCAAGATGGATGTTTAAGCACAGAAAAACAGACATAACACTCACAAGTTGTTAATCGAACAAGCATTTAACGGTCAATTTAAAAGTATCGTAGTTGGTAGTAATATCGATTCTGTGACACTACCCCGAACCGAGGGGGGCGACACATCTAAATCTCAATTTTAGATGCTCAATAAATCTCACACTAGCGAATAAATCTTCGAAAAATCTTCTTTCATTTCTCGCATCTACTTGCATCGCGTATCATCTTTTTGCAGGAAATCTTCAAAATCGTGATAAATCTTCTTTCTATCTACTCAGCGTACGCGCAGCTAGCCACAGCAAAACACAATATTTCCTGCAGATAGAGTCGTCCCTCTCGCCCCGAACGCCTTTACCCTGAACGGTACACTACCCCGAACGCCGTTACCCCGAATAGTACACTACCCCGAATGACCATTAATGGTCATTTGGATTCTAAAACATTCCCCAGAAAACCATTCCCTAGAATCCCATTCCCCAGAATGCATCATTCCCCAGAAAAGTATGCCATGTATTGACTAAGGGAATATTCCCTTCTTTATCATACATCCAAAGAATTACTTATTTTCTCCTTTATATATTTAAAGAAAGATATATTCACTTCTTTATCGTTTATCCATAGAATTACTGATGTTCTCTTTTATATATTCAATATTCCCTTCTTTATCGTATATCCAGATAATTAATTATTTTCTTTTGTTATGTTTTCAAAGAAAGGAATATTCCCTTCTTTATTATATATTTATCGAATTAATGATGTTCTCTTTTATATATATTCAAAGAAGGGAATATATCGTATATAAAAAAATTTATTTCCTTTTCTTATATTTTCAAAGAAGGGAAAACCCCTTGATTCATTAAGGTCTCCTCAAACCCCTTGACCCATTAAGAAGTTTTTCTCTTCTTTTTATATACGCGAAAGAAGATTCCTGGAGTGACTATAATAAACAAAAATAGTCAATAATACATGGCATACTTTTCTGGAGAATGGTACATTCTGGGGAATGGAATTCGGGGGGATGGTTTTCTGGGGAATGTTATAGAATTTTCATTTGGTATAAAATACATTTGGTTATACTAAATCTCTTCCAGATTCAAAAATAACATAAATAATACTACACACATTCACTACAACATTTGATAAATAGCTAAACTGACGCTCAAGCCTTACTGACATTCCTGCCCAACTGGCATACTTTCAATAGAGATTTCACCTGGGAAAAAGCTCGCGAATCATAGTGAACTTTTGCATCACTGATTTACATGAATCAATTTTAAATAGTTATTGTTATCATTTGTATTCAGTTTAAACTACAAAAGAAAATTTTCTTCTAAAAAATTTACCCATCTTTTGATCGCATGCTGTTCTTCCGTTTGTCTTAATTTCGGGGTAGTAGGGTATTCGGGGTAGTAGGACATTCGGGGTAACGGCGTTCGGGGTTATGGCGTTCGGGGTAGTGTCACAGAATCAGTACCACCCTCTGTGGCGCGCATAGTCAATTCCCTTGTGTTTTACGTTTACACACTACCGCCATCTGTTCCGCGTACTACCCACCACAATGTACTCAACAGATGGCGGTAATGTTTTAGCGACGATGTTTTACAGTGAGAAATATTCAATGTGTTATGTCTGTTTGTCTGTGGTAATAGTTTTATAACCCAAGACATGTGTATGTTTCTTCGCTGCAGTTAAAGCACTGAAGGAGGTTCTTTTAGTCAATTGATCCAGAGACAACTTATTATTTTTTTATTATTTATTGTTATAGTAAAATATCACTTAAAATTTACAAATAATTAGTGTAGTGTTTTAATTACCTGCGTCTACATGTATCATACTCATACCGATCAATATTACACGTATTTTTTCACCGATAAGTTTATAAAAAGTGAATGCTGTCGATTTTATCTACTTTTCTTGTGTTGCTACAACGGAATAATTTGAAAACATTACTGACAACTTGTTTAATCTAAATGGAAATTAAGATTTCTGATATATTCTTTTTAATTACTCTCTCGCTCCGCAATTGAACATAAAATAATTGTGTTCCTTATTCTTTTGTAGAAAACAAAAAATGCAAACAACCGTACAAAATATAGATGGATAGGTAAGTTGTTTACGGGAATAAAAACCGGCTTACGCGTGCTGTAAATGTTTGCAGATGATTAACGCCCCCTCTCGACACTAGCACATCATTTCTTGGCTAGTTCATTGGATAACCAGTCTAGGCCTTCGTATAATCCATGACCCTGAGTGGCGCAGGTCGCCTGAATGTACCACTGGAATGGGGAAAGAATACAAACAAAATTAAGTAAAAATTCACCAATTGAAATACAGCCGTAGCCACCTAAATGTACGCTAATGTTATGTTCAAACATGAAAGTATCTTCAATAAATAAATAAAAATTGAATCAGCCCATACGCGCTGCGGTCTGGTAGTGCGGTCGCTGTGGTTTTGTCGTACGGCATATGATGGAGCCGTACTGGTTGCGCAGCAGGATTGAAGTATTTAGTGGAGGCATTAGAAATCACTAGATTAATCCAACTTTCGAGGTTCTGCCATAATCTTTAGAATTAATGACTGATCAGCACTCATAGGTAAGGGAATTTGAAAGAAAACGAGTGAAGGACACAAGTATCCGGCGATCTGATCACTAATCCAGCCAACGTAATGTGGGAAGTAATACTTGTATGGCCAATTCAGTGCAGGTTGACATATTTCCAATATTCTAACCAAAATTTGTATTATTGGGATTCAATTCTTAGTAACAGTTTTAAGGCAGGAGAGATGCATTTAGGACGCGGAGGGACCGCTTAGGGGAAGCATAATATTTTTATGGCTTCTTATTTTGGAATGGTTCAAATTGGGCTAGGAGTGATGGGCCGTTGGCCTTAGCCAAGAAGGGTGGGCAGGGGAGTGACACGTCCCCCCTAACTCAGCCGCAAAATATATTTTTTAGATTTCATGTAGGGGAAATAGCTCTAATGTTGGCCATGGATCTAAGATTGGGCCCATCGCTAAATATCTGCTATTTATCAGTTGTATCTAGATGAACGCGTCATTGGGACGGTACTAATGGATATTTTTGGTCGCTATTGAAAATTTAGTCCATTGCTGAATTTATGTATGGGCCCAAATTAGGGGTATTAAGGCCGACATTACATCCATTTCCCCTATCTAGAAAAAAGTTTAAATTTTTAGTTCAAGTAGCTTCTGACAACTTTTTTTTAATGTTTATCTTCCACATTCGTTTGAGTTAGATCCATTATTTCAGAAAACTCAAAAAAAAAACTCAAAATATGTAAAAAAAAAAAATTTTTTTTTTGATAATTAGAATACGAAAATCTTCATGATTCTTGTTTTTCCTAGAAGGACTGAGAATTATTATTCAGATTTTCAAATATTTTGTTCTTTGAATCCAATTTGTATGTTTGAATTTTTTTTCTCTTCCTTGAAACTCCAATGACTCTGGCACTTCAAAGATTGACAATGTTGACTAGAATTCTAAAGACATTTTTAGCTCGAGAGATAATTTCAATGGGTTCTTAATAAATCTTATCCCCCGTTCACATAACAGCGTATATCACGTGATATACGCCATCTTGCAATGAGCACTAATACATCTAGTATTCACTGGAAATCTTATGTATGAGTGCTCATTGCAAGATATCCTATATTACATGATATAAGCCATAGTATGTACGGGGTATTAGGGAATTTTTACGGAGAACCCTTGCAACATTCTATGAAGAATTTTAACAAAATTCTGAGGAAATTGTTCTGTGGAAGGTTTCAAGAAAATTTTGTACTAACAAACAGGTCGGAGTTTTTTTTTCCTTCGATTTGTTTTCCGTCGATCTTGTTTTCCGTGCTGAGCACGCCAGGGAGGCAGCTCCCACACCTGGACCCTACCTATCGACCCATCAACTCATGAACCGGGGACCAACGGCTTACTTTCCTTCTGAAGGTGAATTTGATAAGGTTTCTAAAAAATGCTAATGGCTAAATCTGAAGAAATTACCAAAGAAATAGTAATGAATATAACACAAGCATTTTATACATAGAATAAACTGAAGGGCGAGGTTGTATGAGAATACTGTAGAGTAAATTTCAAAACAAAAATCAGTAGATGATGCAAGTTTGAAGGGAATTCCAATTAGAATCCAAATTGTTTCTGGTGTGTCAGAAATTTTACTAGTGAACAAAATAAAATTGTCGACCTAAACTTTATTCCAGGATGATCTAAAAATAATCATATGTGCCAATTTTTAGACCATCCTAACCCACACTTTAAGAAAAATTTAAAATAAAATGTTTGTAACAAATGTTCGAGTTAATTTTAACGATGATTATCGAATAACTGTTATCGACGAGGTTATCGAATAAAATGGTAGATCTCTACCAAGACGTTTTCAAACATATTTTGGTAAGCTGTTAAAGTTAAAGAGATAAGATGAGATGAGGAATTGGGGATGTCTTTGATAAAAATAAGAAATCTTTAAGCATTGAACGTTCAACAAATTGTAGAATGTTAAAATCCTTTTCATGCAAAAAAAAAAAAAAAAACGCGCGATGTAGAGATGTTATACCTACGTCTTTTGAAAATTTTAATATTTTTTTTTTTTTTAATAATTTTGCTTTGCTCAGTTGTCGGAGTCACACAATATTGTAAAATTTTCTAAATGCTAATCTCCACAGAACTACAAATATGTTCAATTTCACGATTACAAAATTCCAAATTTTTGGAAGCACCTGCTGGAGACACTAAGTAAAATTGTTCAATCTTGAGATTTTAAGTTTCACATTTCTCAAAATTCTAACAATCCCCACCCAAACAACAAATTTATGAGATAACTTGAAACTTGTTTCTAAGAAAATTCTTGGGAAAATTAATAAAAATATTCTGTGAGGGGTTTCTAGGGAAATTAAAAAGATCAAGGATTGGAAAATCAGAGGATTGTAAGACTTTAAACTAACTTAATTTTAATACGACTAGAAAAAACTCGAAACTTGAAGACAATCCCTAAAGTTTTGAAAGGTTCTGGCACCCTGGATAAATTATTTAAAATCATGTTGTATTGTTATACAAATTCATAAAATACCGATGACATATGCTGAAGTATGATTGAAAATTTAGTTTCGGTTAAACGATGATCGACCTAGTAATCCATACGGTATAATAGCGTTCGGTATATTTAATGGTGTTCAGCTAATCGGCGTCATAAAACATTTTTTTGACAATACATGTCATTCCAGATTGCTTCTAATCCAGAGTTGATCAGTTAAACGTTAAGATCAAGTACAGCTAACCACAGACAGAGATAAGTAAACCTTACATACTTCGAGATAAATTATGAGGATCTCGGAAAGTTCATCATGAAAGCTCAAAGCTTTAAATTGCTTCAAATGGCATCCCGACTTGCCCTGAAACTCGCACTCAATGAGCTTTTAAGTCTTCCGTAATGACTTCGATACTCTGTGAATCCACTCTTATAATCTCAGCACACCCTATAGCCATGCTAAGAAAGTCGCTAGACCCTCACTTTGAAGTCGTTCAGACAATCACCCATATTCTTGTTTTCGTTCGAACCGTTTTTTCCATACAAAAAAAAAAGTTTTTTTTGTGTGGAAAATACGGTTTGAACGAAAACAAGAATAAAGGTGAATACCTAAAGTTCTCTAGTCGTAATACATAATATATATATATGTAATATAAATATGTATTCATTCAATATTTGAACGTTTCCACGTGGACAATAATTATACCTGCCCCTCCCCTAGGACATGTGTGGACATTTTTACACTCCTCTCCCTCTTAAGTTGTCCACGTGGTATTGGACGGTCCCAACGCGAAATTAACAAGTTTTATGTATCAAACACATATAACTTACAAAATATCTTCATAATATCTTATAATTTCATAATTAAAAATATATATATATGTATGCGAAATGAGCATTTGCAACCATGAATATATGAGTGAAACCTGACAACTTACGTGTCTGTTCCTGAGCTGATTAAGATGCAACTTGTCGGTCAACTCCGCCGCAGTCATAGCATTCGGTAAATCCTGCTTGTTGGCGAACACTAGCAGAACTGCGTCTCGTAGTTCATCTTCCTGGAGCATACTTTGTAGTTCTTTTTCAGCTTCCACAATTCGCTCGCGATCGTTTGAATCCACAACGAAAATCAGTCCTTGCGTATTTTGAAAGTAGTGGCGCCACAGTGGACGAATCTTATCCTGGCCGCCCACATCCCAAACGGTGAAGCAAATATTCTTGTACTCGACCGTCTCTACGTTGAAGCCGATGGTCGGAATGGTCGTCACAATTTCTCCCAGTTTCAACTTGTACAAAATAGTGGTTTTACCGGCGGCATCCAAACCGACTGAAAAAGAGAACAGATGACATTGTGAAGATTATCACTGCATACCCGAAAATCTGTCTGGAACATATTGATAAGCGATGGTTTGCCTCCTACAGGCGATTTTATTTAATTAACGATGAATCGAGAATAAAAGGAAAAAGATGGCATGTGACGTCATCATGGTAGATATTAGAATTGGGAAATTCGCGTTCATAATGGTATTTGTTCCGCTAAAAGTAAAGTTTTTCTGAAAGTTGAGATAACAGGAAACTTACCCATCAATATTCTCATTTGCTTTTTTCCGAAAAGCCTGGTTAAAACACTAGAAATTGTAAGACCCATTCTGGATTTCCACTTGTGCTTACGAATCAGCTAAACGAGTTGACAACTAATCAAAAAACGCACACAGCCACGATTCTGACATTTCAAGGTGAATAAAGTTATGGTTATCAGATTCAATGTTAATAGTAAGAGTTTACACGGTAGCCAGCATAAACGCATTAATGAGTAAAAAATACACATTTTTCATGTTTAGCTGTCAAAAACTGTGTAAATTAGGGGATCTTAAAATGTGTAAGCCGGCGCCGGTGGTGTAGTCGTAAGCGTGACTACTTTCTCAACCCAATGGGTCTGGGTTCAATTCCAGCCGAGGTCGGTGGGATTTTTCTGAGGTTTAAAAATCTCTGGTCACGTCTTCGAAGGGAAGTAAAGCCGTTGGTCCCGGTTCATGTGTGTTCAATGGGTGCGATATTCTATGCAGGTGTGGAAGCTACCTTCCTGCACATGCGATTGCCACACAGAAAAAAAAGTTGTTGAATATTACATCCAAACTGCTGCAACCAGGTCAATCCATCGGTTGTGTAATATAACGTTGTACGATGTACATCGATTTTGCGAACAAAATTACATCCATTGATGTAATATTGTATCTGCTTTTTGCTATTACATCATTATTTCATACATCAGCTTGAATTACATTGATCGATATTACTTTTTTTTTTGCTGTGCATCAATGGATGGCAACCGATGTCCGTCGGTGATTGGCACTAGATTGCGGAACAGAGACCGACGTTAAATAAAGGAATGCAGAAGAAGAAGAAGAAAATGTGTAAAAAATACTCATTTTAAGAATGTAGTACACTCAAAAATATTACGAAACGAATATAGATTTCGACAGTGAGCATGCATAAGGGCCTATACGCGATGATCGATTCTCTTCGTCGATTTTCTCTTTTGTTGCTAGATTTAACGTTTTTCGGTGCGTTTGCTGTTGCTTTCGATAGCCAATACAACCTGTTACTACTCTGCATTGAACAAATTCTAGAAAATTGTTTCGCCTAGCTGTAGCAATGCAAAGAGAAAATCGATGAAGAGAATCGATCATCGCGTATTCGCCCTTATGAATGCTCACTGTCGATTTTTTTGCATTTTATGGTTTTTCAAAATGTATACATTGGCTCGATTAAAATTTTCGTCAAAATGATACTAAGTCCGAATAATGGAGTGGTATTCGATCAGTGTTTACTAAAATAATAGGAAAAAGAACATCTGTATTCTCTTGGGAGCTTCGTGCTGGTGAAGAGCTTTGTCCCGGTGGATTTCTACTGCGCCTGTGATTGGCTGGGCAGCTACACTGCGTGAGCACGAGTTCATCCTAATGAATATCGAAATCGTAGGTATGTTTTAAATAATATTCATAAAAAATAAAGTCATTGATAACCTTCCTGAGACAATTCCGGAGTGATTTGAGATTTGGGCGTAATTGCATTTGTAAACAAACATGTCAATGACTGATTCCTCGCCAACAAAAGCGCAATCTCGTAAACAAACTATACCAAATGATAGAGGAATCATTCATCTACCTGCTAGTGTTATTAGTCTTCGAGATTGAGCTTTTACTCGCAAGAAATCGGTGATTGACGTGTTTATTTACAAATGCAATTACGCCCAAATCTCAAATCACTCTGGAATTTTAATTTTTATATGAAAATAATAATATTTATCATAAATAAAATAAAGAAACGAAAAATTAATTCTCTCGAATAAACCGTATCTATGCATTGTAAGTATATATCGATTTTATACTGGCACGCATAAACCATTTTAAAACTAAGTTTGCATTCTCTTCCTTTATACCGACCTTTGCGTCGGTACGGAGAGTTGCGATTTAGCGTAACTTTTACCGTATTTAGATTTCAATATTTTTTAATTGTACGAGATGGACAATTACTTCTCATGTTGGGGGGTTTTGCTCCTCCGTTTTTTGACAACATTAGAAGAAGAAAGTGAGACAAACTTGTCAAAAGTAGGTAAAAGTAAACTGGCTGTTGGGGACTTTTTTCTTACCGTGTAGGATATAAACTAAGCGTGTAGCGGGCTTTAATGCAAATTCAAGACCACCTGACACATTGATGCACTATGGTGTTGTGACAGCACAATCATAAAATTTTCAATTCAATGACTATTTTCATTCGAATGATTGTTTATCATAAGAAGAGTCTTCTTTCTGTGTCGGCAAGAAGCAAGCAACGCCTTGAAATTTGTGTTTAACAGTACCCAGTTATTTCAGCATTCGTTGTTTTATGTAATTTATAACGTGGGTTAATCATGTCAGATTCGGATGGAAAAAGCACACCTGTGAAAATAAAAGAAGGTGAGTAGGTAGCGAATCAACTGATATTGACCAATGCACGGAATGACCTTCATGAATAAATTTGACGTTTGAGCGGTGCCCTGTGTACTAAAAATGAACACATGAATAATACTCGCGTAACATTTAAAAATGTCCTATCAAATTATGTACACAAAACTTGTTAGACATTTTTCGCGCGAACCGAAGTACGCCCATGCAAACCAACAACACCATCGGATAGGGTGAATTCTCCCCTTTCCGATAGTGGTTTGGTTTTCGTGGGTGTTCTTCAGCTCGTGAGAAAAGGGCCTAACAAGTTTTTTTTATAAAAGTTGATAGAACCTTTTCTAAAGATACGCGAGCATTACATCATGTGTTCATTTTTAGTAAACACGGCACCGCTCAAAAGTCAAATTTTTTCGTGAGTACATTCGGTGCATTGGTCAATTTTATTTTTTTGGTGCATCGAAATATCCAAAAAAGTATGCATGTAGGGGCATATGAGCTCTGTCTTTTTCTCCAATCCAAAAATTTCCAATAATTTTTCGTCTGTACATGTTTCTTCTGTAACATTTACGTTCGCGTTTCCATACCATTTACGTATCTACGTTTGACTAAATAAATTGCGATTAGGACAATTACTTATAAAATTAATTTGTTGAATGTATATGCGCTTTTCATCAAATTTATATGAATGATATGAAATTTTCGTAATGGATTTTCCTTCGCGAGGATTTAGAGTAATCGACTGTGATTCTAGTTTTTAATACCTTCCTACATATATTATATACAGATGGCTAATAAGAGTTTGTTTTTGCAGAATTGGACGACGATGAACCCAAATTAATGAGTTTAGAGAAGCTGGATCAAGAATCCTCTGAGATGTGGCCAGAGAAAGGTAAATATTATTGCATAGTTCCAATAATTTATTTAGCAACTAAATGCTGCAATGCTGTTGAATATGTTTCTTTTTCTATTTATTTAGTGCAACGTTCGCCTATTAATGTAATAGTCTTTCATTTGAATTGTATCGTTTTCGTTTTTGCGGTGTATAGCTACACCGGTGCTGATGATAGAAAAAACATGGTTACATGTAAATTTTTTCAAAAATTTAAGGGCAAACTTATTTTCTTACATTTTTTTATATTTTTTTTCAAAACGTGAAAGACAAAATTTGTCTTTTTTTTTGTTATTTAATAATGTTTTGGGCGGTAAACATCCCCATAAATATATTAGTAAAACATAGTGCCGATTTGTCCGTTGGTGCCAGAATTGCCGACATTCGGCAAACAAAATTAAGTGTGTACGTCACGTCGCAACCAAATGAGTCGGAGGAAGTCGATTGAACTATAGTATGAAGCAAAATACGTTGTCTAAATTACCCTACTGCTCGTTTGTCATTATATTACGGGGTGGTATTAAATAAACTTACGCGCTTATATTAATCCCAGGTTCAGCAATGCACGGATTTCATACGCCTAGTTTGAATTTTTCTCCCCCGGCATGGACGAAAGGTTTAACGCAAGACGATATTAACTCCATGTATCGTGAGTATTTTTTGTAGATGCCACATATTTTTTTCTTCTTCAATAATCTAACATTCCTCAGAGCTGGGAGCATTATCGACTAACGGTATCATCGCTGAGGTGAAGAAAATGTATGACCAAGCGTATCAGCTGGGAGTTCAAGAGGCAAAGGAAATGACACGGGGTAAATATCTGAATATCTTTACCAGCAACCGAAAGAAATCGTGATAAGAAGAATAATGCATTATAAGTTTTAATTCGTTTTGGTTTTCAGAAGTATGTTTTTTTTTTAAACATAATAAACCATTTCATCCGAAATGATGTGTTTGTTTTGATTTGAACTTCGCTGTGTTATTCAATACATGGAAACAAAATACGCAAAAAATGACTATAAAGAACCCATTTTAAACTATAAAGTATGCATGTATGCATATTCGAGGTAAAACGGGACTACTCATAAAACGGTCCTATCTGTATTTATCGATTCTCTTCATCGACTTGCTCTTTCGTTAATGACTCAGCTGTAAAACCTTTCCCTGTTGTATTTGACGTTTTGGACGCAAGATAAGATCTTCCTTTATCAAACCATGTGATAAAAAGAGCGCAAAACCTGTTTGCATAGTAAAAGGTTATCAAAAGAGAAACTCGATGAAGAGAATCGATCAAAGCTGATAGGACCTTTTGAATTGTTCATCGAGATTTTTTTTAAATCCTTTTATTAGTATCTGTTACTTCTAAATTAATAACTTTTACTCATTTTTGTACAAGCAATTACTCAAAAATGCGATAGTTATTTTATGAGTAGTCCCGTTTTTCTTCAAAAATGAGTACTTTATAGTTATAAAAGAGTTTTTTGCGGTTACCGTGTATAGATTACGTATCCGAAACAACCGAAATAGTATCCCACGATTTTTTTTTACTGTAGCCATCGGCATCACTAGGTAGAATTCATAGGGATGTACTAACCTATTATAGCCTTTCCTAAAAAAACATCTGTTTTCAATTTACATTTTCCAAGCCTCCATTAGCTCAGTAGTCGGTAAAGGCGCAGTTATGAAGCAAGACCATGCTGGATGAAGGTGGCTGGGTTCGATTCCCGGGTCGGGTTTAAAAATTTCTCGACTTCCTGGGCATAGAGTATGTTAAGAATATTGAGTGGGGACGTAATTTAACTACAGTAAGAAGAAGAATAAGGTCAGGAGATCTAAACATGTTCTAGGAGGGTACTAGGCTCTCCTTAGTTACACCAATTATTATCATTATTATTTATTTAGTATATAAACTTCACCTGGTTAACAGTCTTAAGCTTCTCCTTCCCATGGTAGCTACAGGGTATCCACAGGGTCCGTCTCCTATTTGTCAATCAACTATTAAATAGTCAGTACTTATTTAAGCTTCTCCGTGTGCGCATTATTCTCGTCCATATGCATTTTTGAAATTACAACTTTTTTTTCCGTGTTGGGTGTATTCATCACTGCGAATGGGGAATGTGGCCTCCTTTAGCGCAGTCGGTAAAGGTGTAGCTATAAAAAAGGCCATGCTGGAGGCGACTGGGTTCGATTCCCGGTCCGATTTACTGTTGTTACCTGACTTTTAACGAATATACGGTGTATATGAGGGAATATGAACTCGTCTAATTTAAATTCATGTTAAAATTGTTCAATTAGAATAAGATATTATGTATTTTCAATGATATTCAATGAGAAAATGGAAGAGTTGCCAGTCTTCTTGATCTGTTGTCTTCGCTCAAACCCAACCAGTTCGCTTGGAGTGCGACACATTCAAATCTCAATTTTAGATGGTCAGAAAATTTTACGTTATCGAATCAATGTTCTATAAATATTTATTCAAGAGCAAATTTTCATTATGTCGTAAGTAACATTCGCACCAATCCGAGAAAAATAAAGTTTTGTTTTGATGACCGAAAAGTTATTCCTATTTCCAAGTAAACACATATAATCTCATAGTGATAGCAATGTTTAACATATTTAGCAGGGTTTTAATCATACAAATGCAAATCGCTAGCTTTCATGCTAAGAAATACTGGTTTTTGAGTCAAAAGTTATTATACGTCGTTTGGTGGCCCCTATTGTTACTTAAGTCAAAGTGTATTTACCAGGATATTCGGGAGAATTATCAATTACGTCTCCTTACGTGCAGCCCATTCATCATTTTAGGACCACCGAAATCATCTTAGCAACAAACAGTTCGATTTATTCACTTTAATAATGAGAAAGCGAAACGACGAACGTACACTTTTCACGGGTTTCTCAGCGCTGTTACTTAAGTCAAACGGCATCTCCATAGAAATTGGGTGACTTAAGTAACATCGAAAACTATTTTGATCGGAAGGTGATTACGTCAAAAAGCAATTTGACTGGCAAATAAATTTAAAAATGGGATTTGATCCTATATTCGGACAGTATATAGTGTAATAGCAGGAGAATCGATTGACACTGATAGCTCGACTTTGTTTACCTTTGTTACATTCGACGTAATGAAAATTTGCTCTTGTATTCATCTCTTGCATCTACATCCATCTACTCGCATTTTTCTCCAACTTTTTGCAGGAAATCTTCAAGAACTTCATCAATCTTCTTTCTATCTACTAAGCGTACGCACATCTCACAACAACAAAGTGAAATTTTCCCTGCATCTTAGAAAGAGTCACCCCCTCGGTCCGCTCCTATATTTTATTAGATCCTCTCTAGGGTGAATCGCCCCTTTAGTCGGTCATTGGTCATATTGCATGTAGAAAGAAAACTGTTCTAGAAGGAAATTTAGTAAATTTTATTTAACATGTATCGTACACAATTATTAGTTACAAAGCTGTTATGTTTTAAATCATCTAAAAAAATCCGTCTCGGCATTGTTATTTGATTTTTTTCCTTAAATAATGAAACTGTTATCATTATTGCAATATTAGTCTCAACATTTATTAGGTTTCATTTTTTAACCTTATGTGAACAGTTTAAGTAGCTCAAATATTAAAAATAACATTGAAGGTTGTTTGTATAACATAAATATACTTGAATTACCGACGTTATAAAATCTACACTAACAGTACCTATAGATTTACTTCGTTTTAACACGATGCAGAAGACACTTTTGGCATTTCTAAAAAAAAATCCTCTAAAAAGTGTACATTAATTATTGCATGTTAACTATGCGTGTTTTCCTGAAGAAACGTCAAAACTAAGGCTTTGAGATGTAAAATCCCAAATTATCTATCGATTATTGATCGAGTTTCTGATTGTCTTACTAAAATATGGTTACTTACAAAGACTTCAATTAAAAAAGTACCTTCCAACTTGCTTAAAACAATGATTTGCTATTTTTTGTTAACATATTAAAATAAGCTCCTAGCAGTGTTGACATTTGACATCATACTATTTACATAAGTTTTGTAGAAGATAAGAATACCAAAATCATACGAATTTTGTTGGCAGCGACGGTTTAGTTCCAGCCACCCGTTAGTTTGTGGAAGAGCTCATCGTTAAGCGTTTGGTTCGTTTCTTTAGATCGCATCGACATGAAGATGTAGCCACCGATGAATTCGTGAATGACCTTGCAGTCGGCGGATAGCGAAGAAAACACGATACTTTCGCCTTGAAATTGAATCATCATGCACTTGATCTCCCAGTTGACGTTCCAAGCCTAGAATCGGGTTAAAGAAATAGTTAGAATTCTATGACTACATCATTATCTAGGAAAGGAATCGAGTAATAAATGATAAATTCAGTGGCGTTTCCTTAACCTCAATCTACCTGTGCACCAACTCTCAAAACATAAACAATTATCAAAATATTGCTTGCAGTGGATAAATATCGAGTAAACTAGATGATGAAGTGTATTTTTCAACCGATTCGAGTATGAATATGGCATTAAATCTGGGTTTGAAAGTTGGTGCACAGGTAAAAAGTGAGGTTATGGGGCGCCACTGGATAAATTATAGATTAAATATTAAGGTGGTTCAAAATATCGATTTCGCTTCACGAAGCTCAATCTATTTCAAGTCAGGTCTTGGTAATTCTCTCAAAAATGTGACCTAATTTGAATGCGAACACATACTGCACTGGCCCTTTGAAGTGTATATGGGAAGGTGATATTCTTCTGATATGCTCTACGGTGTACTTGACGCGAAGAATAGGGTAAACAATCCAGGCTACTATGTCCTAAGTGCAAGATGCAGTGTTGTAATCATTACGAAGCATATCGCTTAATCGATCCAACCAATGACAAGATGGTGTACAGTAGAGAGGGTCTAGTATAAGAGAGGAGCGTACTGGCAGTTTTGAGAAAAACGAACTTTCAAAGCCAGAGGTAATCGAGCAGCGCCTATCTTGATTGCATTGGCAGTGTTGCTAGAAGTCACCTAGACATAGGTTGCCAAGGCAGTTTGTTTTGAGTTCGCTCCTCTCTTAAGCTGGGTTTAGACAGGGCAAGTCAATTGATCAAGTCAGTTGAATTCAAGTGACTTGAAAGCGAATTGAACGTGTAAACCATGCCATTCAACTGACTTGATCAACTCACATGAATTGAAAAAAGTTGAACCAGGCTCAACTTTTCAAGCCAATTGAATTCAACTGAGTTGATCATTTGACTTGCCTAGTCTAAAACCAGCTTTATACTGGACCCTTTCTCGATGAACATTTCAAATGGTCCTATCTGCTTTGATCGATTCTCTTCATCGACTTTCTTTTTTGATAACCACTGCTACACGCAGGAAAAAGTTTTTTAATTTCAATGATATTATGTATTAAAAACAACAACAAAAATTATCATTCCCCGGCTAATAACTTTTTTTATTGAATTCAACAATAAATCTTTATTGTTCGGACATAAAATATTGTTGTTTTCAAAATCTGTCAAAAACGCAATTAAAAATATATTTTGTTGAATTTACAATATTTATTTTCAAACAGACAAAATCTTTTTTTGATAAAAAAAGATAAGTTGCTACCAACAATAACTTTTTTTTATTAAAAAAAAAATTGCTGCAAATAACAAATTGTTTTTAATAATTTAAAAATAAAATTGGTTTGGCATAAATATTTTAATTTTTAATTTTAGCAGTTTTTCTAGTCGAGAAATAATTTTCAATAAATTTAAAAATTGTTTTTGGTTTCATTTTCTATTTATCAACAAACGGTTCAAATAGTGATTCAATAGGTTTATCAATTATACAAAAAATACCGAAATTATGACCTCTCATTAACGGTATGTAAATTAATAGTTTGCGTTTCGAAACGGGCAACGTTTCCACGGTGTATTGATTTGCTGGAGTTGGGGGAAAAAATCGTTAAAACACGTATTAAAATGCAAATACTGAATTCCTTACAAAGAAAGCAACTTGTTCAAAAAGAAGGTCAGGATTTCACGCTAATTTTACAACATAGTTTGATAAAGGAGATTCTTATGTAGCATCCAAAACGTCAAATACAATAGGGAAAGGTTTTGCAGCTGAGTTATTAACGGAAGAGAAAGTCGATGAAGAGAATCGATCAATGCAGATAGGACCTTCCGAAATGTTTATCTAGCTTTCTAGTGTACAGTAGAGAGGACACGTTTTTTGGAAGGTGAAAAGGCACACAAGCAACAAGCCGAATCGATTTAATCGAGATCGAGTCACCGCTTTCGCATGATATCGAAATAGAAATTGAGCAAGACATTGACGAACAGGACAACGTTTCCGACACGAACTCGGAGTACGAATCTGGTGAAGAATCTTTGACGAAAGGAGTACCAGTACCTTGGTACCGGGACTGCTAGTCTGCTAGTCAAAAACTTCCACATGAACCAAAGACGTACGAAGATGCTATCAACGGTCTCGAAAGCGCGCTATGGATGGCGTCTATTGAGTTAAAGTTATCGGTTCCAAATGTATATGCAAGCGCAAGTAGGGCGAAAAAGTGACGTTGTTCGCTACACGCAGAGAAATGATTTTTAAATTCAAATGGATATATTTTTGGCTCAGGGCCTAATGTGGTATTGATTCAAATATATCATTCGGTTAATTCAAAGAAAAATATTTTTGGATCAATAAACCGCTTGTAGAGTCAATAATCTGTTTGTTGATTCTAAAAACAATTTTGTTGATTAAAAAATATGTTTTGTTGAAATAGTGATACAATTCGCGTGTAAAGGGCCTTAGAAAGTTTGTTTACAAATGCTTTTGTGCCGTTATCAAATGTTATGCCTGATATGTTCGAATCAATAACAAAATATATTAGCCCCTGAAACAAAAATCCATTTTTCTGCGTGTACAAACTTCAATTGGTAGCGCAGGCGTTCACGCAGACGGAACCGACTTCGACGAGGTTTTTGCTCCTCTGTAGTTAAGAATGTCATATTTTGGGCTCTGTAGTCGGTTGTTAGTCAGAGGAAGATGGTCGTCAAGCACGCCGACAAGAAAATGGCGCAGCCGCACAGGATTCTGGAGGGAGCCGTGTCCATGCGCGCCCACCACTTGGTGAGGGGAAGGGGGTGCACCGGTGGTCCACTTATGGAAAGTTTCTAGTACCTACAGTTGAAAGTCTCTGCAGTAGACAAAACAAGCACATGCTAAGTATGCAAACAATCAAGAAAATCATTTTTTGTGACATTCTGGCAGTTAAGCTCGCAGTTAAGTTTGACAAATTCGTAACAATCGTAACAAAGGCTCTGAAATTTACCAGATGCTGGTCGAAAGCATTTTTTGACAACTATTTGTGAAGATTTAGGAATTACTAGGTAATATCAATAATTTTAATTCAATTATTTACGAATTCAGCATTCAGAGCTAGAATTTTGAGTTTTTGTTCCTACCTTCATGGTGTTGTAGCGCCAGGTTTTCAAATGATCACCAGTATTGATATCCATCTTCATGATCCGATTGCTGACCACACCCAACAGTTCCTCCTTTTTATGTCCGTCAAACTTGATTACGAAAAGCGTAACTCCGAATTCCGGGAGGCTCTGCCATGCCCGAATGTAGCTCATTTTGGCATCCATTAGCGAAAGATCCTTAACATTGGCGTGGGCTTCCAGCATTCGCATGATAGCTTTATTTTTCAGTTTTTTAACATATCTAACAGACAAATACTCGTTTGGTTCGATGTTGTTCGGGTTTATCGTGATTGCCGGAGCTTGTGCAGGTTTCTGCATGCTCAGGAAAGATTTTATGCTGGATACTTCACTGTCATACGAACTGTCGGCCAAAGAACGACCCTTCGATGCTAACCGACAAGCGGCCATCCATTTGGCATATTGATCCTCGTTGTCGCAACGAATCCACATTTCACTGTTGGTGTTCTGTTCCAGTGGTACTTCTAGCTTGATGTTGAATTTGTTTTGTGACAAATTTACTTCCGGTGTGACCTCACAGCCGCGCAGATTAATCGTAACTTGAGGGGGATTATTAGATCGGGCATCGTCTCTACTCTTGTACAAATGCAAATGTAGATCCTTGTACGTAAACCAATAGCGCTTGTAACCTTTCAATGTGAATTTCTTCGGTCTGAAATAACATACAAATGTATCAGCTTATTTAGAATGGTGTTTAACGCAAATAACTCACTTCAAAAATCGCAAATAATCCGTCAGTTCCGGTATGTGTGTAATGTCTCCAGCATTGTGTCCGTTACTTGGTCCTTCCAGCGTAATCTGGAGCTCCCGCAGTGCTGCGTCAACATCATCATCAGCGGCATTATCTAGACTTGATGTGTCGATTCCCGAGTCCGGCTGTGGCACTTCGTTTTGCAGGTTCACCTGGAACTGCAGTGCGCCGAACATAAGCATTTCTTCCTCGGTGCATTCTATTTCCTCGTTTAATAGCTGCCACTTTGCCTGTTCGTACAGCTGGTTAATGCGTACTTGATCATACTTGGGATTGAGGTCGAAGAATGTATAGTACTTGAAGCGTAGGCAGAGAGTATCAAATTCTCGAATACCTTGCTCCATAATGGACAGCGATGAGTCCAACCAGCCCACGTTCATACGTGCTCGTTCTACGAGCGTTTTTGGTTTAACCAAACGTGATCGCGCTTCCGGACTAGGGGCGCATGGACTGTACGCTAGATTATCGATAGCATCACCCAAACTCGAGGATGACTCGTTGAATGAAGTGTGTCCATTCGTGTAATTGTGCCTCAATGTCTGTTGGAAAGGAAATAGCAAAAAAAAAAAATGCAATGTAAATTTTAGACTTTACCTAAATGAAATCATCATCTTCAGCCATAACTTGCTTACCCCAGTAGGAGAGCTGATTGGTGTGCTCTGCAAAGCTGGTTTGTTGGGCGTATAATGTGGATGTTGCACCGGTGCACAGGAGAATGGTCCTCCGTTTGTTGGTCCATCGAGGCTACCGCTGCTGCCGTGGAAGCCAGTAGCTGTGGCTGGGATGAATGTGTTGGTGTCCGAGGCTGGGTGAACAAAGTCTCTAGCATTGCCGTTTTGTTCGAAGGGGATTTTCTTTTTCGGTAAATCGGCATAATTTTTCTTCAAGTGGGCTGGTTCCAATGGCTTACATAGTGAAAGTTCCTCCGGATGCCTGATGCCCAGGTCTTTGCAAAGAGCTACTACAGCGCCAAAAGTTTTAATCGAGTAATCCACACGGCAATCCAGGTATCTCAAATCCGGCATCTGTGGGCATAGACAAGATAGACAAAAACATGTATCATGATCACTAAATGCAACCCGCCTAAGCGAGTGGCGAGCAACAACCTACACGCGACCGTCTTATTAATTCAGAATCGAACGGTTTATTGCTGTTTCTTTCCTAATATCGACCTGTTGCAAAACGGTGGTCGCGGCCAACGCGTATTTGAATTTCATTCAGAGCTTCGCTGCTTGAACAACAACGAGTTGTGACCAAACGGAGCGTGTACTTCATTCATAAAAATGTCGTCGCGAAGTAACTAATGATAATTATATTTACGCGCTAACGCCGCTAACGCCGACGCAGTTTGGGGACATGTATGGCTATAACCTACGAGGGCAATAGATTGCTTCTAACAAAGCACGTTTTTTATGTGTTTAGGTAAGATTGGTGTATGACCGTTGAGGCTGAACTTTTTCGGTTAAAGGTACGTGAAGCTGCAGCCTTTTTTGACATTGGGAGTTATAATTTTCTAAAATTACAACCGATTTTTGTATAACTGTTATAACATAGCCTGTACTGAAGCCCTACAGTAAAAGTATGGACGTCTGTCAAAAGTTGTTCCAATCGAACCGTCAAAATGCACCGCTTTGCTCGATTGGAACAGCTTTTATCAGTTTTGTGATGACAGTCGTCCATACTTTTACTGAAGCGCTTTAGTCTGTACTAGTTCTTATATTATAAGAACTAGTATAGACCAGAGTCGATGTTATAATAAGAGTCCCGCCAAGAGAAAATGTTGCGAACAAGCAGCACTGTTTGGGATTGATTTTTCGTCAGAGTAAACGGCAACCAGATTTTTTGCGTTACCATTGGATGACTTTCATTCAGAAGTGAAAAATTTTATGTCGATTACGGAGCTTCTGGGAGACAAAAACAATTATAGCACCTGAAAAAGGTTCAAACAAGTGCTTGGTATAAATACCACAATGTACTAAATAAAGCGAAGAAATGTTGTTCATCTAAAATTACTAAAATATTGTCAATAATGAATGCAATACTTGTAGTTGACTGGCTGTGGGAACAATGATGTTTATTTACTTTGCTCGTTTGGTACCCCGCTTGACAGTTCGATTGGTACTTCTGGCTTCACTCTTGGCGGGACTCTTAGGGGCTGTTAATAAACGACGTAGACAGTTTTTTGAAATTCTTGACCCCCCTCCCCCTGCGTAGACAATTATCCATACAAAAAATTTAAAATTTGTATGGGCCGTGGATAATTGTCAACCCCCCCCATAAACTGTCTACGTAGTTTATGAACAGCCCCTTATTATAACATCGGCTCTGGGTACAGACTAAAGCCCTACAGTAAAAGTATGGACGACTGTCACCACAAAACTGAAAAAAGCTGTTCCAATCTGTAATGTCCGACTAATAGAGGCAAACTGAATTCGTTGAGAAACCGTGATGATTTCAATTAAGAGAACGTTTTCTAGTTGATGTTTCAAAGTAGACTGAAGCTCAGCTTCAGCTGTTGTTTATTTATCTCTTTCTTTTTGTTGTTACAGAGTTAAGCCTGGTACGCAGCTGAAAAGAAAACGGAAAAGTAATTTTTGAGGATTTTTCCCAAAAGAAAATTTGACAGCTATAGTCTGCTAAATTTTGAGATTATAGGGAGATGTAGTCAAATTGTAAAATCAACACTTATTAGTGTTTATGTTGTTTAAATGCATCCAAAACATCAGTTTTGCAATAAACGCCAACATTACCTAACGGAATAATTGATCAGACCATTATTCCGCAAGGAAAGTGAAATTGCATTCAGAATGCGCCACCTTCATGTCGATCACGATACTAATGTAATCGATCTTTCCTTTACCGATTTCTTTTGAACTGCGTACTTGGTCAAGAAATGCTAAGGAAAAGAAATTTCTTTAGCATTCCGTGTCCTATCCCGTAGCACGTAAAAACGTCATTACTTTTCAGCTGCGTACCAGGCTTTATTTTGAACTGCGTAGGTACTGGGTCAAGAAATGCTAAGGAAAAATAATTTCTTTAGCATTCCGTGTCCTATCCCGTAGCACGTAGGCATGAACTTTTTTCATGGATGCCAGTAAGATCATTTATTTTTTATGGTTGCCAAAACAACTTTTTGTGCCTCCGCTTATCTATCGAATCTATAGAATCTATAATTTTTACTACACTACACCGGTGTAGTGAAAGCAGCAATAAGCGCGAGTCATTGACAGCTCATCATCATTTGTTTGTAAACAAAGGTGAAGCCAATAGCAACACCTTGATTTTTTTCGGTGTGCGGCGATGTAGCACCGGTGTAGCTACACCGCAAAAACAAAAACGACATTAGTTTGATAGCGGTTTTGTTTGTTTCTCGTCTCCGGTTTCCGTCGGGATTTATCGATAGTTTATCGTATCCGAACAACCTAGGTCTACCAAATTTGCAAGAATTTAGAATGCAAATTGATTCGTTGTTTTGGGGTTCACTTAGTTTCAGTTGGTTTTTAATATTCACCGTCTGCTCATAAAAAGATGTTTTATCACAGAATTTTATTTTTGGAAATTCATTGGAATGCTCAGATTTTATAGAAAGTCTGCATGACAAAGTTACACACCAAAATATACTTCTGGATTTTTTTCAATACATCATTTAAACTTTCAGAGGGCCATCCACATGCAAGTTAGTGCTGTTATCGAACATTGTAGTGGCGTTTTGCGCCGTTTTAGGCCAAGGCCTCAAAATTGATGATTTCGAAAAAAGGTTTTATTAAAGGAAACGAACGGTATTTTGTTATCTATAATAACAAGACATCGGAAATTCTTTCGCATAAACGAAATTTACTGATCTTGAATGACCATATAATGTTCAAACATAATGTGAATGCATAATGAATCTATCAGGTAACCTTTTTTATGTTAAGTTAGGTATATTCCTTTTCTTTGGCTGTTAACAGCTGTACGTATCTCTATACGAATGGTACCGAATGCCGACAACGCTGCACAAAGTTCTGATCCACGGGCACGAATTAATCGATAAAATCATGCTTACAATTGGTCGAATGTCTGAGGAAGCTCACTTGAATAAGGAGATACGCCACTGAAAAAGGACCATTTCCGACAAATTTGGAAGACGTTTTCAATGGTTTGCTTTTTTCATCGGATCCCATAATTTCCGGATATCGCAAGGAACGGAACCGCGATTTACCCGAAGATTTAAAAGTGCTGTTGAAGATGGAAGAGGATGACAATGCACAAAAATAAGTTTCAGTCTTTCTTAATAAATATATTTTAGAACCACCACGAATATCCAATATCAATTCGAAACTACTCTGATTCGAAGAAGGTTTTAACGTTTTTCTAATTTTAGCTTTTGTTCAAGTTTTTTTTTCTTTTAATATGTTTTTACTACAACGCTATTTAAAATCTTTTTTAAAGTTTTGTCCCTCCAAAATCGGCTCAAAAAATATCGAGCATAGTAATAATGTAACTTATTTTTTCTTTGAAATCATGCATAATTGTATCCAAAACTCCATAGTATACACATTAAAAAGTGTAAGTATGTAAATCAACATAATTCTGACCCTTCTTACAGATCACATATCCTCCCCCTGACCTGGGTTCAGATTCACCCTGAGGACAAAAACTTTTAAATATTGTAACGGCCTACCCTTCATATTACTGACAACTTTAAAGGGGAATTTAAAGGCAACTAAATCTGTCATCAAATACGAAGGCAACAGCCTAAGAAAAGGAATAATCATTTTTTGATATTTTAAATACAGTAAATATATCAATTTTACCTTTGATTACTTCCAAAACTTAAAAAAATAAAAATATTAAAATTAATTCAATTTGCTGGAAACACCTTTAATTATCAAGGTTGAATCATTAGATAAAATACTTCGTTTTTACTTTTGTTTCCTTCCAAAACTTTAATAAATGCAATAAAATAATATTAATTTATATATATATATATATATATACATATATATAAACATTTTATGTAGTTTTATAATTTTGGAACCACTCTAGACAATTATATCTTGAGTTTGGGATGTTTTCAATGTCAATTCAAAATCGGATTCAACACCCCAAAATTACCCTGATACGACATTTACAGCATTTTTCAACTACTTTAACATTTTTATCCGGCCTTTGTATGGAATGGATCCACTGTGCACTGGGCCGATTTCAATGACCAAAATATCAAATGAAAGGTAATTAAAAATATAATGATATAAAAAAATTGGGATTTTGTATTGAAAAACATTGATTGCATATGTTTTTTATGGTTTTCATGGTTTGTAGACAGAGGGCGCAATATGTTTTTATATGTTTCCTTGAAAATCCTGTGTTTTTTTTCGCTTTTGAGTTTATTTTTTGAAGTTACCTATCAAGTTTTGGGTTTTCGCTCAATTCTCCTATATGACTAGACTACCATGCGTCGTGACTATGTTAAAGCCGTTATAAATCAATGGAGATGCATGGTAGTCTAGTCGCATAGGAATATTGAGCGAAAACCCAAAACATGATAACTTTAAAAAAAATATAGGGTAGAGAACTACTTCGGCCTAATCGCCCATTTTGGACCTATCGAACAGAAAACATCAAATAAATCCATGATTTCAGAGTTAACAAGTCAATTATGCGTTTGGTACGATACTTTTGTTAATAAGCTACCAAACGAAGTCAATGAGAACGCGTGATATGAAGGTTTGCACCCATTATTCCCAAAAACAAAAGAAGCGCTGAGAATCAATTTTTATCTTCATCCGATAGGCCGAGGTAAATTCATTGGCGTTTCAATGCGTTAGGCCGAGTTTAGAATCCGTAGGCCGAGTTTGGTGTCAAGAAGCAGTGTTAGACTTTTGACAATATCTCAACGATTGGTTTCTCTTTATCAAATCTTACGGTACGTACGGAAAGATAAATAAATTTGGAAGCCATCAGTAATAATAACATTCCGTTTGGTGCTAAACTGCGCTAGATTAAGTAAGACTAAGTGCGGGTTGTGCTTAATAGGCCAGAAATGGGGTAGTTAACCCTAACTAAAAAACGAAAAAAATCACTGGACACAACACAACATGGCTTACCTGTACTCGGAGGGTTTTGTGCATTGGTGTGAAGTGTAGAACGGCGTCCGCATGCAATCCCACCTGATCGAGTGTCGATTTGGTTCTCGTTAACCATATGTTCCTCGCTGGCCACCATAGTGCGTGGTCGGACCAATCTTTCGGGTTTTCTGAAAAAGTGAATGAGAAAAAAAAATAGTTCAATAAGTGCTGTTGGTTAGCAGTGTGCACGTATTAAAATAGGCATTCATTTGGTACCATAGAAAATTTAAATAAGTGTGATGTCAGCACGTCCACAGAGAGCATTGCAATCGAAATACAGCGAGTATATTCAATTTATAAAGCTAAAAATATACACTTTCTGCTAATTGTATTCTGCCCAAAACGAAGAAACGATTACCAGAAAAGATAACCAAAATCTATTTTGAATGATTGAAGAAAAAAAAACTCCCGCTTTTTAATACATTGATTACTATATACCACCATTTTTATGACGACGGTATTCTTTATGTTGCTTGGAGTACCTACACACAACAACACCAGCTCCCTAGTGCTGTAGACGTAGACTAGTGGTGCTATAGTGGCGCCAAACGGTTGACCTTTTCGGTGAGTGAGAAGTGCGATTTTGTCTGATGGTGTCATAACATCGCGCTTTATTGGATGGGTTAATTGGATATGGTGAAGGTTCCCGCTTCCACCAGAACTAACTAGGAAAGACATAGCGCTTTACAGATTAAGCTATTTCGTTTGTAATCTTCTACAGGGAATCGGATATGGATACAGCACACGCAAGCGACGTCAAAATGCGTGCGTAAAAGTCGTTAATGGCACGGCTCGTATATAAGTTGCTCTCAGATTTTCGATAGGGCATAATTTTAGTAACTGTATCAAGGTCACGAATCGTCTGCTTGGCTTTGAAACTCGTTTCTCATATATCTATATCTACTCCTACTTCCACCGCATCTACCAACGCTGTGCGGTTAAGCTCAGAAGAACCAGAGACAATGACGACGAGGGCTAGGGAGAGTCCCATGAAAATGAAGACACATACAAGAAGGAAGGGAAGAGAGACCTTTTACACACAACGGGAGGATGACAAGGAAGCACACATAAAGTAGAGTTGTACGTTCCTACAAAAATGACGCACCTTGAGACCAGTCGACCTCCGGATGAATGAGACACGGCTTTGAGAGAAACGTCAACGTAACCGCGTAAATGGCTACTCTCTTTGTACCTATATACTTTCTAACTTTCATACCATTCCTTGATGATGATGCCAACAGTTGTGCGTTATGTGTGTAGAAGACGCGTGCCGTGTGGACATTATGGTATCTACTTACTAAATTGCAATGAATGTGCGTGATATTCTTGTCGATGCACACATTAATATTAGGTTAATAGAAATCTCTTAATATCTATAATCAGGCTTGACATGTTCATTTTTATTGCTCTTTTGTTAACAACTTTTCACTCAGTTGATGAAATTTGGTTTTACTTTAAACAACCGATGGAGTAGGATTAGAGTTCAATGTATACACGAATAGAGTATTTAAATCACAATTCACACTACAAATGCATTTTGTCGTTCAAAGGCCGAAATGAGCAGCGAATTTAAAAAGTTATGTTGTTTTATGAAGTAAAGTTGCACGTCCTCAAAATACTTACGGTGCATATTCCAAAAGATGCTAAAATTAGGAATATCTTCTGAACACACTTAAACGCCAAAATGTACGCATTCATCAGAAAACAATTAAGTACATCAATTTTCACTTTTAAACCACTGTCCACTCTTACTCTCAATATGACCATCGGTGATGTTTATTATTATTATATCTCATAGTTTTATAATTTCGAAAAGTAGTATTTTAGCTGTAATAAATGGTCACATGATGTGTTTGGGCGTTTCGGGTTGCCTCTAGACTAGAGCAGGAACTGACCAGAGTCTGAAAACTAAATTTGATGTTGTGATGTTCAATTATTACTCCGTTTGCTCTCGTTTTGGTCGTTTAACGGAAAACATTCCTCAGTAATTATAAAATAGAGTACTAGTTTTGCTCTCTTTTAGATATGAGTGAGAACAAAAATCGCTAAATTTCCAATCATGTTCGAAAAGTACAGCAAAATGAAAACAATTCATACTAATAGTAAACTAAAATCAACCCTCATACAAAATACCATATGATATAACTATTCCACAATACCCTGAACACGTCGTTAAGCAAAATAACCAAACACATTTTATTAGGGAAACTAGGTATGATTTCATTTTGCTTTAAGCAAAACTTGTTTTCATTTTTCTTTAATTTTGGTGCTCGACTTTGCTCGGGGAACTTGTTCTGGCCATATCTCCGGAACCAGTTGACCAAAAATTCCAAAAATATTGGGACCACAGGACCTTTCATTTAGCGGTTGTTGTGTTAAATCCGGCGTGATGGTTACCCAGAAACATAAGCGTATTTATTTTGTTTCGTTTTCGAAAGTCGGGTTTTCAAGAAATATGTATACCCTTCTCTGTAAGAAGGGTAAACATACGGCAAATAGCTTTAAACCGGCTAAAACGCTGCATTCATTACTCTTATATTGGCTGAAAAACTATAAAACAGGACTTAAATCGTTCAAATTTCACCAAGAAAACCTTAAAAACACAAAGATCGTCGCGTGGTACGAAATGGCAAAATGAGGAACTTTTTTCCGACAGCCTGACGTTTTCATTTATCAGTATAGTGTCTGCAAAAGATCAAGTTATTTTTCGTTTCTAGAAGACTGATGTGTTCAGCAAAGTTGTATAGAAAATGTCAAAACAAGCAACTGCTGTATGAGTCAAAATTATCAGCCCAGTATTGTCAGAGTTATGGAGCGTTGTTATGGTTAACTCATTAAAATTTAGATATTTGAAAATAACTTTTTGATGATTTATTTTTTCAGCACACAATGTTCTAGATAATTGTCAGAAACGCAAAAACATTTTATTTTTTGAAAACCTAAAGCACATTTTTTATGTATTTTTATTAACTTCATGCTCTTATTCACGTCATTCCTTGTAACGTTATAAAAGTCAACTAGCTTGAAGTTTGAATCAAGCACTATAAAGCTAAAAACGATTGACTTGCCGCTCTCATATCTACTGCCGATATTTTTTTAAACGATACGGCTGAAACGCAAGGCATTTTGATCTATTTAACCCGGTGATAAATTTACCTTTGTTTGATTACGGTACCATTGGAATTATTGTATGGATTCTTTTAATTTTTTCACGTGAATTCCCTTTGATTCTCAGATTTTTGTTGGACATATATTAAAACACATTTAGAAGTACAATAAAGCATATAATTATTTTATTAATAGGTTACCCATGGTGGCGATTGCTGTTCAAAAAATCAATTCGTCGTCGACGAAAAACGCTTCGTTTCGACTTCCCTAAGCAGGACTCTTGAATAGAGTTTTCCGCCTCGGATCAATTCTTCAAAAATTGTGATTCGGATCCAGTCCTCGAAGATCCATTCCATCGATGAATTAAACACAACTTGGAAATGCTGATTGGATCCTTTGAATGCCACAACCTTATGGTCCTCCATGAATTTGTACACTTTTTAATAATACGGTTAACGGTAGTAGATTGATACCAACTGTTTGTCGTCAATTTCTGACAAATAATTTCCATTTTTCTCCCGAAACTTAGATTATAAAAATACAGGTTAATCATGGCCACGATAGAAATAGTCTTATTTAAATCCATCTCTCTAACCCGTTTCGCTGGTCAATATCTAATGTAAAAAAAAGTCACTACAACTACCATCATATAACCGGACATCGGTCACCGTAACCTTCAGACCTTATCGTAACTATTTGCAATGTTGTGTCTAAGCGGTATATACTTTCCCGATACACAGACACAGAATGCTTTTGATGCTGATAGAATCGATGGTCGTTTGCACCAATTAATGGAATGCATTCTGCTGTGGCACATGTGCACGCAAACTCCAATGCAATGTGCCGTCTGTACACCAATACGCGAAGGAATTTTTATTCAAATTAATAACTTTACGCCACTTAAGCTCCACAAGGCATGTAAGTGGCGAAGGGGGATTACTGCTACTCGGAAAGTGCCGTTCAGTCAGTGGGTCAGTGAAAAGGAAATCCATATTGTCGGCTTACACATATTTTGCTATACATTTTTATTCCATTACAATTTTCTGACAAGTGGAATGTTCAGTATGCGCAATGAATTCATCTGTGCGATTTTCCGAGCCTTTCAAAGATGTCTACTGCCAGTGCATTCAGTCGCTCTAGGCTCTAATGTGCACTTTAAACGACAGACGAAGGCAAGTGATTTCCTCATAATCTATCATCGAATCGGTATTCCGAAGCGAGCGCATATGGATGCTATTAATAACTTACAATCGCCTCCTTTAGGTTGTACACGCTAACTTGAAACTACCCATTAACGAGTAAAACTTCACCATCGAGTAACTGCTACCTATTATTGATATTAATGGGTAACAGTTACTCACTAACCCATTAATGAGTTAAGCCACTTTTCTTCAAAATGGGTGAAATCTTATTCATCAATGGGTACTTTAAAGTTACCGTGTTGAGTATACAATCGGGGATGTATTTGGTCGATCTTCGGTTTGTGTAGATTATTAACGATCGCGTCTGGAAGCAGGCATGAATGAGCCGAAAATCTATTTTGCAAAACCAATGAACATTTTGTGATTTTTAATCAACCGTAGGGGTCCGTTTATAAAGCAAACTATCCAGGAGGAACCGGGTTCGAGTTCTGATCCCGTCATGGAACTTTTCGAGTAGCAATTTTGTTGACTAGGGACCCTGGGCATCCGGTGAAAAATTACACAAAGTTATGTAGGCTTACTAATCTATCAACTAATACAGGGAAAAGTGCTTTAAAAACACGAAGTTGAGAGTAGTAGAAGAATTTCATCAACAACTTCCTTGTAGCACCTCTTAGGATTGATTTTGCAGGTTTTATGAATATCTATGGGATTTTATGGATCCCTTCACATGCACGAAACCTAACCTAAATCATCTCGCACCCACGAACTTTGACAGTTTTGCTGTTTTTTTGGTTCTACGTTTGTGGTAAAGTGACAGACGACTAACTGGTGAAGAAATCAATTAAAATAATGTGGTTGACTGTAATAGAATTGTA